GCGCTTCCCTGCGAGTCCTCGTGGTAATGAGATGAACCTCGCGCAGGTGAATATTCTCCGGGATTTGTGTTCGTCCGTGGGAGAAATCGTAGATCTCCGCCAATTATTCATCCCCGGGACATCTTCTCGTGAGCGAGCGAAAAAGGAGAGATGAAAAGATAAAAAAGGACGCGCGCACACACACACAGAGAGAGAGAGAGAGAGAGAGAGAGAGAGAGAGAGAGAGAGAGAGCGAGTCGCGTCGACGCGCTGCTGCGGACGTACAGGTGTGTCCGCGTGTACATTCGCGCGCATAGATTACCGTCACTCGTTTCGGCGACGACGTGCACGCTCGACTGACAATACAAACGCGCAAACGTCGAGCAGCTGACCGTCGGCGAAGGAGCAGGAACCGACTAATATCGTCACGGTTTCCACGCGACGGACGACACGCGTGGACGACGCGGGCTGTGCCGGCGCAGCCCGGCTCCGCCGTTCGGATTCCTCGATCCGCGCGACACGTTGCAGAATGCGTTTTCCATAAATTAACTTCTTAGCCGCTCCGTCATTCGTCACACGGCAGAGCGGCGGCGGCGCGGCATCGCGGCATCGCGAGACACCGTAACGTGAGACGCGTGTCGACGGTGGAGGTGTCGCGAATCTAAAATAAAATCACGCCGAACGAGGACCTCGTGACGCCTCCTCCCTTGGCTCGATTATAGAACAGCGTCTCGCGCGGTGTCCTCGTGCTCTAGGATCGGGGCCTGCTGCTTTTAGGACCGCGCCTCATTACGGAATATCGAGGTGACGTGCTCGCGCGAGCGAGCGCAGAGTCGAACTCGGGCGTGATTTACGTGGACGTAAAAACGGCCGGCGGGACGTATTCGAAATAACCGCGGAATGTACATATATCCCGGCGGAACGTTAAACGTTTACGCGGCAGACGTTTAAGGCGCGCGTTGACCACATGGTTCGCCTTGGCGTTGTCAACGCCGGCTCCGACGTACTTCCACGCCGCTGCCGGTTGTCGTTACCGCTCGCCGCTCCACCATCCAACCCCGCCGAGGAAGATGCGCGATATTTTCGCACCGTCGAACTCGCGGCGGGTTTGTCTCGTAAATGCGACCGTGGACGTCCACGTTCCGTCAGGACTCGATCCTCCCGCGATATTTGTGAGACAACATTAGTCGCGCGTCATTCGCACCCTGAAGAGACTTTACGTGGTTCCGAAGAGATGCCCCGGTTTTCAGACCAGATGTTTGGTGATGTAAAAATTCACCTCTGCGTTAACAAGACAGAGTCTGCTGACGAGAGTTCAGCCATCTCGGTATCTTCTGCGAGATATCCCAGATTTTCGAAGTCCTTTCCTCTCCTTTTAAATCGCTAGATATCCTAGGTCCGCGTTTCCCGATCGCGAGTCGAGAGGATCGGCTGTGCGATGCGGCCGGCATTCCAGCAGGCTCATTGGCTATCGCGAAAACACCGGCCGCCTTTGAGGCCCTCGCCGCCGAGGGTTTTTACCCTCGTGGAATCCACGAAACGCTTTTACGTACACGCGCTGGCTGGCCCCATTGAAATGCAACTCGCGTCCTTCGATCTGGTCCATCAGCCCTTCGTCTCTCCTCCCCCGCTCGCTCGCTCATCGAAAGATCGCCCTTCGATAAACCACTAATCCGTTCGCGATCGTCTCGCACCCGCCCCCATCCTTCTCCGCCGTCTTGCGATCAATCCGCCGCCCTTTTTCTCCGCTCGGCTGGTGAACGTAAGCGAACGCGGCGACGTACCGACGTGCGGCAATAATGATCTTGAGAGAGAATAGAAGAGGGATCCCCCTCCCTCCCCTCTCCCCTCTCTCTCTCTGCCCCTCTCCCTCGTGGCGTGGAAGGGAGAAACAGTCAGACGCGGTCGGAATGCTTACTAATCTCACGCGCGATTTCCGGTAATTAGAAACGCGAACGAGAGAAAAGCATGCGCCGCGCCTCGCCTCGACAGCCCCTTGTGATCCAGATAATAAGATTCTCTCAATCAAAGACCGATTTTCGTCGTAAATGCGCTCTATGCGCTCAGATCGACCTAGGTTTCACTGTTTGCCTCCGGGCATGTTTAGGCTGAAACCTAGCAGGTGACTTAACAAGTTAAAGGCAAAAACAAAGAGAGGACCTATCGTGATGTTCAAACGCGAGCGACGAAGCTCGGGCAAAATCGAAAATCCAAACGAGCGTCGCGCACGGCCCCGGCTTGGGACGGGGACGGGGACGGGGACGGGGGGGGGGGTGTATAAAAGTTGAGGTGCGAGGCACGTGTCCCGGGATGCGTCGGGAAGCGCCGTCGAGCTCTCGGGGCCTGACGCGAGCGACGCGAGAACGCGTAGATAAGCCACTTAGAGTTAGGTGACACGCGCTACGAAAATACACGGCGAAGAACCGGCCGGGGCGACAAGACAGAATTAGACGTGGAGAAAGAGGCGCGACGTCCGACCGTTTGTTTTACGGCTTCGCCCGTTTCCACGACATCGAGCGCAATTTTTCTTGCCGCGTCTCTCGCCCCCGCCCCCGCCTCCGCCACCGTCTCGGTCGCCTTCCCTTCCTGGTCCGCCTCGCCTCGCCTCGCCTCGCCTCGAGCGGACTCCTTTATTCCGGAGATGGCTCGTACCCTGCCGATCCCGCCGGCGGGAAATTAATGTCCGTCTCGACACGATGGCTCGCGATACCCTGCTAATGCTCCCGAATCCGAGGTTTTCACCGCGCGGAGCGCGGATTTTCGAGCTGGCCCCCTCAAATGTGCGTGACGAAACATGACGAAACGTACAAGCGAGTGTTCCTCTTGAAATTTCACCTTTGTGTTCTTGTGAATCGTTCACTTTGTCGGGAAATGATGATTGATCACTTGGAATATTTGACCAAGAGTGTGGCGCGTTGGTCCTTTTCATTTCACTCGGCCGTTCTCGTCAGTTACGTTGAAGCGTCTCCGAAGGGAAACGACAAAGAAACTCTCGACGTTTCATTTACGACGCGGACGGCGCGCCCGGCAAATTCGTCAACAGGCGCGCACCCCCGTTTAAAAATAAGACGTAAGAACTTAGTGTACCATCCCCGGGGCTCGAAAACGCGCTTATTGGCGTTTCTGCTCATTAGGATAACCCGGGGGGTTCCGACGCGATAACTCATTCGGCGAGGCTGCTCTCTGAGAAAAAGTAAATAGAGCGAGAAACGGAGAAGCGCGCACGCCGGCCGGGAATTCCGCGAGCGGCCGAGATTATCGAGGAAACGTTTATTTTTGCTCGTTAATTTCACGTCTCGCTTCCGTCGCTCGTTTGTCTCCCGTCCTTTTTCATAATCTACACGTCTCTGCTTCTGCCTCAGAGAACTCATTCAGATTCGAGTAGGACGCGTCTTGTGTTCTCGGAGAACATCTTGCTCGTCACCGTAACAATATTGTCGGAAATCTCACCTCGAGTGATTCCTCCGCAATTAAAATTCACCTAATTAATATTCTTCGTGGAAAAAAAAAAAAAAAAAAAAAGATTTGGATGATTACTTTTCCCCGGAAGTAGGAGACAGTTTTCAGTTTATTTTAACTTTAAGTGTACATTCCTAATGAAGTTTTTTATTTTTTTAAATGTCTTTGTAACATTTAAAAATTGCTACTACCCACAGACTGTTGCTGCTAAAGCTGCTAAACGATGAAAACGTGTAGCTTACTTTTATACCACAAACCGATAAGACAGGCTTTGCCCAAGATTTTTCTTTATTTCGCAAATAAATAAAATTTTAACAACACTTTGTTGCAAGGGAAGAGATTAATTGCTATAAAAGCATATAAAAAATCAATTTTTAGGGAAATGACGGTATTTTATCAATGCAGCGTTTTAGGAAGTTTTAGGAAGAGGTCACCATCGTCTACGAACGATCCGTCAGTAACGTAGGAATCTGTACGTCAGTAACGTCACTGAAGATTTTCTTTAAACGCACGCGAAATTATTAAATTTCGCTATTTTACTTAAAATTATAATAATCAGCTTCTCTCAATTAGCTAAAAGCTTGTAACATCTAACGAGAGAGGCAAAAAGAAAATTACAATTTATTAGTCAACAGGAAACATATTAGTGGATCTATCTTGAAAAGTACACTTCTCAGGAATTATAGGAAAGTTAAAGAGAGTTTTACAAGTTTCTCTTCGAGAGGAATTATGAATTTAAAGGAATTAAAATCTGAAATTTGAGGATCAGAAAGGTTTGCAGAAAGAGTGTCGAATGCTTGATTGATCAATAAAATAGTCCGCTAACTTCTCACCCCTGTCGCGACGAGACCACCCCCAAAAGAATCCGTCGGTAGAACAGAAAAATCAATAATCAACGCAACGTTGCCACGTTGAACGGGTCAAGGGTCGAATGTCGGAGTCTTCATGAAGGTGCTTCCGTCGCGGGGGTGAGAAAATATAAAGTGAAGGAGAAATTGAAGAAAGTCTGGTCACACGTGGGTCATGACTACGTCGCACGTTAAGAGTACGTAGCCCGAGTGTTGTTGTGAGCTCCTCGCGATTCGTTTCTCGTGTTGGGGATTGCGCTGAGAGGACGAGTGTTGTCCGAACAACGACGTGTTGTTGACGACACGCATGCTCTTAGGGAAATGTGTGTCTCTTTCCCGTGGATATTTTCATCAAGTTCTTTTCATACAGTGGATAAAATTGGAGTCAATGGGAGTCAAGGACCCAAGCATAAAGAAGGAAAAACGAAAAGATTTACCCAACCCAAAATTTGTAAATCCGAGAACCAAAACGTGTCCATGACCTTCCAAATTGTTTAAACAATTAGATAACAAGAGTACAGGAATGTGTCGATTGGAAAAAGCGAGAAATATGCGTGTCCAACATCCATCGACTCCTTCCTACCGGAAGGAGTCGATGGATAAATTGGCCGCTTGAAACTTGAAGAGATTCATCGCCTCAGTCGTTCACGGATTAATCCGGCGGTATGCGGCGCGCACTCATGACTAAAATCGTCGAATTTTTGCGACTTGCAGGATATCAGCATGAGCTTCTGCCCACGGAGACGCTTTCGCATCACTCCTATGCGAGTACTAGCGGCGTTCTTTCTCATGGTCGTGCTCTTCTGGTATAGCCTCAGTCGGCAAGAGATTCCGCGGCAACCATGTAGCGTGCCCGAGGAGTTCACCGAGAAGTTGCACGATCTCGCTTACAGGTCGCTATCGATGACAACCTCACGCGTCAAGTACCGTAGTCAAGTATCGTAGTAGACAATTCGGTCGTCGTTAGACCGGACTGCGAAGATGCATATAGATGAAGAGGGAATCAGATGTACACAAGAGAGAAAAAAGAGGTCACTACTTTACGGGAGGTCGCGACGCTTTGTCGCAACGCGAGAAATTCCCGCAATTTACCGAGATCCGTGAAATTAGCAGGGGAAAGATCTGTTGATTAAGAATGTCGCGCGCTGAAAGTACCACGTAAAAGTACCACCTACGTATGTATCACTTTCTATGATTTCGCCAGGGCGCACTTGGTTCTAACCAAGTTGGGGATCGTTCACTTTCTCTGCCTGGGCGGACTTTGGGGTCAAGTCCGAATAGGCCGTGCGCTGCCGTGGGCCCGCAAGGTAGAGCTGTGCCTGGTGGACACGCTCAGAGACGACGTCTTGATCACGAAAGCCTTCCGCGAGGTCGGCCTGAGCGCAACCTACCTTCACGCGGCGGGCATCTACAGGATACAAGAGCACGAGGTCGGCGAGGATGCGCCCAAGGTGGAGGTGGTGGTTTTCGAGGAAGACGCGGTGGTAAGAGAGAAACGCTCCGAGAAGAAATAGCAGACTGGCTGACTTGGAACACGCGTCGGGAAATTCTGAGTCTGAGAACTCTTGAGCAAACGACAATCCTCTCTCTCCGTCAATTTCCTAGCGCGTTAAAATTTTCGCATTCTCATGCGAAGAAGAAGGAGAATCGTTTCGTTAAAACTTTCCATCGAGGAGAGCTCGCTTCAACTTCAGAGACCCACTCGATGTCCACTTCAATTATCAGGCATTACTTCGATCGCTCTTTCTTCTCCTTTTTGCGCGGACAAGCGAGACATTGTTATCCGGTGGCGTTTTATGTATCTGGCACACGCGAATGCAAATCCGGAGGGGGGTGGGGGAGGGGTCAACTCGGTGAATCGTCATCTTTACGCGTCTTCCGCGAGAGATCCGGCAAAATTGGAGCTTGCGATTCTTGCTTTACAGCGCGCACGGTCTTGTATGTAGGGCGAATGAAAGCTCCTTTGGCAGCGCGTTAGACGACGATAAGCTGGCGGTAGACTCCGTTTTATTGCCGCACGTGTAGACATTACGACCTAGTTGTGTCGATTTCTCTCTCCGGGAAAACTGGCGGGCCATTAACTACACTTGCCAAATCCATCTCGGATCTTTGGAATTTACGAAGCGTGCAAACCCGCGTTCCCGAGCCGTCCTCAAGATCACCTCTAAAAGCCGCGTACTCGGAGCACCCGAGGAGGAGTTTCCGGATGCGAGATGCGAGTCGAGGATATCGCGCCGTTGGCGGTTGTTAAGTATGTAGCGAGGTGATATCCACTTAACAGACACTCCACTTTGCAGACTCAGATGGTGAGAAGAGTCGGCTGGACCAGGAGGGTCCTACCTCCGGACTGCGAGTTCTCGCCGAGCTTACAGTGCTTCCCGCCGCAACTGGTAATACCTCCCTTACCGGCGAAACAATTTGGCGGCCGACTGATGCCCGTGCCTCGGGAGGGCATAGAATTACAAAAGTATCATTACCCCAACGACTGGTGGCTGGAGATCAAGCCCACCGACTGTGCGGAGTCGCAGGATGCGAACGTATAGCGCAATCTCGGCCCTCGGCTCGAGCGCACGCTCGACGGACATTGTTTCTCATCGACGATTCGACCGACGCGACAGGTGCAATCGCGATGTTACGTTTACTTCCGAACAGTGGCCAGGTATGAGGGAACGAGTCGTCGGACAAGTGTCGAAAGAGGTTGTCGTGGGACTTTTGGGACGTTTAAACACTCCGTTTAAACGTCCGCGGTTGAACGGAGGAGGCGACGATAACGGCACCGAGAGGCTCGAGTGATTTGATCAATTATCAGTTGCAGCTTCGATCTCGGTTCCAAAGTTGGCCGACGTCTAACCGGCGCCGGTGGCGCGACCGCTTTGAAGATTACCGCTTTTGCGTAGAGGAGCTCTTCGAGAAATTCGCTGTATTCGTAAGATGAAGTCTAACAAGTAGCGTATCGCCTTAGGTAGCGAGCGACTGCTAATCGTCGTAGCGATTGCACACAATTAGACAATTACGAGTATATAACTCTCTCTCTCTCTCACTCTCTCTCTCTCTCTCTCTCTGTCGATTAGAGTCAACGTCAGCTTTTCGCCCCGTTCCTAAGATTCTTCTATCATTGCCATATTACCACTTCTTCCATTTTTATACCTCGTACTTTTTTACATTGTTTCCCCGCGTGTCGATTTCGTGTCTACGGTTGAGTGAGGATTTTTATAAGCCAAAAGTTTTTTAACATTTACTACGAACGGTCAAAATATGCGATTGATTCGATATTTTTGAGGTGCTTCCCATTTCTATCGAGGAATATCGAAAATCTTGCGACTTTTTGAGCTGGGAATCTTCAAAAAGCATTGGATTGAAGTTCGTTCGCACGTTTTAAAGTGCAAGGTACTATAGTTTATCGTGAATTTACGATAAGAGGTACGCTAGTTGAAATGCACAGTTTGCTTCATTCACTTCCTCGTGCAATTATTTACGCTTTTTATACGATGAAATATGAATACGATGAGTCTTCGTGAAACAGCATGCTTCGTTTGAGTGATTGAAAATAGGTAACTGTTACTCTCGAATAAACCAACTTGTCGCAGTTTATCGTATAAGCTAGGAAGCCATAATTAATAATTCAGGTCAGAGAAGAATGTTGTGCAATAATGAAACGTACGTGTTATTACAACGTTCTCGTACGAGATGTCTCGTGCGAGCGCACAGATCTATGCGTGCAATTTAGATGTGTGTATGTGTGTGTGTGTGTGTGTGTGTGTGTGTGTGTATGTGAATGTAATTATAACAATACGATTACTGTAATGTTGTAGTTACGCCTATAAAATCTTTAAGCGGATTGAGTAAAAATCTACAAAAGATACCACGATGTCTTCTAATTTAAATTCTATGTTGAAATAAGTTTCTCCCGATAAATCTCTCTTAAATGAACGTAAAGTTTAGAGGCTAAAATCGAATATGAATTAGTTAGGCCGAATTTATAAAATAAAAGTTTACGGTGATATTAAACACGCCTCAAAGCAATCACTCCCCCCGGTAATTAGAAGGAGAAAGTCGTCGAGCGCGACTAAAACTCCGCGTCGACTACGAGACGAATGTATGGTTCCGTCACCGTGCGTTAATCATCTCGACAATACAACGACGTCAGCATCCGAGACAATTAGCATTCACGTTCGTAGCCCGAAGAAACGTTCGAAAGTAAACGCGTGCGCGTATCACACGCGTGTATTCTCTATCGAAAGTAAGTCTTGGAAAGTATTTCAAGACACACATGTCCTTGTTCACTTTCCTCTGAGGTAGGTTTACGATCTGGCAGCTGCGGCAATTTCTCATTGACACGCAAATCTCTTTGTCGCTATTCGGTATCGTTCCACTCCGCGTCAAGAATTACCGTTTATTTTTTTGCGAACTTCTAAACATTCGGTCAATATGTATACTTTTTATCTTATCAGCGTAAAATTTAGCCTCTCTGGGCATCTCTGGGCACATCAAATTTTACCTGGTCTCTACCTGGGGCAATAATTTACGCGTCGACTTCGTGAAAATTTAACGCAACCGTTTTCTCGTTTTCTCAAGTTGCCTTGACCCTCGCATACGACCGCAACGTCTAGTGTGTAAAAATACGAATATCTGCGAATATCTGCGAGGCGACAGATGACACGTCGACGTTTCTCGCAAATTCATGTCCGGGAGAAAATACTTATACGCGCCTCACCGTGGTGTGAAAAATAAATAAATAAATTACTTGAACATTTGCACGAACACGTTGCTCGAGTGCAATCTCTCACTCCTTGATTTATTATGCACCAACAACATTCGACATGGACCATTGGCTTCTTTTATGTCAAGTTTTGCATTGCTCAACGCAATTATCCGAGTAACACCTCGCCTACCACTTTATATCGTTCGTGCACTGCATATTCCGAGAAAGTTTAACAAACGAGCGTCGAGTGTGTAATTTCTATGGGAACTTTTTCGCGCAACTGAAGACGAGCGAGTCGTGATGATGAATTTAATCGTGACGGTGCAACATTCACGAGCCACTGGCGCCTCAGGTAGAAATAGAGGGGATAATATAAAAGAAAGTTTCTGTTCGTAGACTTTCGAGTTTTCAGTCCCGTTTCGGTCCGCACGGAATTCGTTTACACGTTTCATCGCGTCCAAAGTCTCGGTGAATTTCGTGAATTCATATCCTGCTCGAGACACGCGACGATCTGGAATCCTGGAATCAGAGAATCAGGAGTGACACCGAGACGACCTTGCATTGTACATTTCTTGATACGCGCCAAGTACACGTGACAAATTGATATACATTATTTGTCCATCAGTCGGTCGGGAAAAAATGACTGATGAAACGAGAGGAATCGCCGAGGGAGATAATACTCCATCGATGCGCGAGCCCGCGAGCGCGTATTTATTTAATTAATAACTTGATTAAAATGGATCGAGAGAGAGAGAATGCACCCGAGCGGCGTGGGAGCATTCATATTAATTAAGAGAAATTTCATTTCACATCGCACACGAAAATGCAGGTAAGTTAATTAATTGGAAGGAAGGAATGTTTATCCCATCGTTGCGCTCTATGGAACGTTAATTAAATATCGTAAACGTATCGATCGTGATTCTCAGGTGTCCGTGGTTCTCGCGCTCGTCGTTCTGCTTCTGGAAATGGTCGACTTCGGCGAAACTTACAGAGCCGTCAGGCCGTACAAATATTATAATCCTCATCCGTGGCGGCCGCTGCGATGGTATCCGTCTGGGAAAACCTCGAAGCGCCATCACGGTAGCTATAAAGGGAGACCGACGCGCAAGTATCGTCCTTACGCACCGGATCCGCACAGGTAAAGGAGAGGAGAGAAAGCAAGGGGAAGGGAGAGACGGGCGAAAAGCCAACACATACTCTCGGTGAAAGGGTTACACTATCGATTAAATTCTCGACGATCATCCTGGAATTCTTATTCGCTCACGATTGCTCACGTAGGTACGCACCGCACTACTCGGAGGACTCGGTGGACGTGCCCGGCGATGACAAACCCTACGTCATAGTCATACAGCTGCCGCGAAGAAAGGACAAACGCAAGAAACGGCCCTATCAGCGTGCTCATACTATAGAGCCCTCCGAGTACGAGCGAGAGATTGATTACATTAACGACGACGACGACGACGTTATCGACAGTGACAACAACGGCCACGATGACGGTGAAGTGAAAGTGTACCGACTCGATAACAATAAGGTACAGATCAAAGTGAACGACAGGCTATCGGTTCTCACTTCGTGAGAACGCGCGTGCACGTGTTTTGTGTCTCGCAATGCGGTGATTTATAATTAACGATTCCTCGAAAAATCGCTGAGAAGAAAGAAACGGCCGATTCTCAGTGAGTTGAATCTTGGTTTCGATATTTGTGTAGTTTCGCGTTCGTGCTACATTCGTCGTATTTGTTATATTTATGATTAGGACTGTGTTCTAAAATCACACAGGGAGACTTGTACGAGAGATCATTTATTCGCGTTAGAATTATGCCATCTGCTCATTAGACGTGAGCGACAAATCGATACTCGATTCTTTTTTGCTCTTACCTAATAATTGCTTCGTATCGAACACGGCTCTCAATTTGCCGTTAATAATGACGCTGCGAATGCTAAGTAATGAGGACACTCCAGTGAGAGGACGGGATAAATGGCCGCGAAAATGAAATCCCACGTTTCTCAATGTAGTTTTTATTTCTAACATAATAGTCAACGAACATATTGTAATAGTAAATAATAATAATATACAATATCGTAGTGATGTTGATGTGTCGCTGCTGCAATTCGTCCTGCGTGATTCGCTCTTTTCTCTCTCTCTCTCTCTCTCTCTCTCTCTCTCTCTCTCTCTCTCTCTCTCTCTCTCTCTCTCTCTCTCTCTCTCTCTCTCTCTCTCTCTCTCTCTCGCTCCCGTTCGTTCTCACAGTGCGACATCGACAAAGATCACTCAAACAGATCCATCCGTACTTTAGGCTCGTGTCTACGTCGGAAAATAGATCGAGCTTGCAAACGGATCCGCGCCGATCCCACAAAACGATCCCACAAATGATTCGTCGCGGCCGACTGTGCGCGTGCGAAACGCATTTAAATTATTGCGAGTATCACAGCCAAAAACCAACAACAACCAGTGACGGCTGGTCACAACATAATTCGTTAAAAAATCTCGATCGTTATAAATATAAAAAGTTGCTATATTTTGACTACTGAATATGTATATATGTATATATTTTTCTTTATGTCTACTTCGTTTTATAAAAGCAACTACTACACATACACATAATGATGAAATATCGCAACAGTCTTGTCCGATTTGACCAAAGTAAAGTCAGAAATGAAGTGTCTGAAAACGCGACGACGCGATCTTTTCCGACGTGCGCCTCTCCAAATCTCACACATTCTCCCGTGTTGTAACTTTTACAATATTCTACGGCCACTTTTGCACTTATAACATTTACACTCGCCACTACGCAGCCATTTAATTTTTTTTTTTCCTTTTTTAAATCTTTCTCACGTGTTTTGTTTTAATCGTTTGTGCGTCTTTGTTGATCTTCTACGGTCTCGCTCTCACACGCGGCGATTATATAAACATAGAAACATACAAACACACATGTTTTTTTTTCTACGTGTCTATTTTACGCGCGACGCATGTTAAATTTTTTTTTTTCCTTTTAATTTGCGTGAATAATTAAACTTTGCTTTAATTGGTGTCTCGCGATCAACTACTTTTTTTCGAAGCACTTTATTACATGTTTTTTTTTTTTTTCTTTTTAACGAAGCACTTATTGTTTACGCCTGAATTATTCAGCTCGTCTTTCGTTTACGTCCTCGTTTCGTTTCCGTTTATTCGCTTAATGTGTTCTCTATTTGATTAAGGGAGTGCAAATGCAATATATATTTTCTCTGCCGGTTCGGGTAGAAACTGCTGCGTGTATTCTCGACGTATCACATTTATCGTGAATGCGCATTTTATGCACTAATGTTATGCAACGATCCCGGCCAAATCGCGCTGTTCAGATGTCCTTCGTTAACGATGTGACGCGCTGTCACAAAATTGTGTCGAGGCAACACGGGAACGAGAAATTTGCAGATTTGATGAACGACACTCAATACTTGAGAAAAAGAAAAAAAACATGAGAAAATATATATACGTATGAAAAACATAATGTATCCGCGAATCGGCTGAGCTGAAAAACTGAGGCAGACAGATAAAACCGGGGGTCATTGTTGAACGAAACTGCAAACTCACGGAGGACACCTTAACTCGCGCGAGCGTAGGATATGCGTGTGATTACCGCAGTGGCTAATTTACGCACGTGTCTCTTGGTATAATGTATATAATCAGTGTTTCTCTGAAAGACTTAACAAATATATTTGTTATAATCACAGTCGATGTAAAGGTGTACGCAGAGGCGACTCTCTCTCTCTCTCTCTCTCTCTCTTCTCTCTCTCTTCTCTCTCTCTCTCTCTCTCCCTCTCCCTCTCCCTCTCCCTCTCTCTCTCTCTCTCTCTCTCTCTCTCTCTCTCTCTCTCTCTCTCTCTCTCTCTCTCTCTCTCTCTCTCTCTCTCTCTCTCTCGTCAATAGTACACAGAGAGAACGATTAAGTTGAATTTAACAAATGCTTATTTGGAATAGTCCAAATAAATTTTCCGATTGTTCGAACGAAGTTTTGTTTGACGCAACAAAAATATTTTGTTGCAGCTTAGTTCCAACGAAATGTTTTTGTTGCGTCAAACAAAATTTCGTTCGATCAAGAAATCAAAAAATTTATTCCGACGATTCCAAATAAGCATTTGTTAGATTCAACAAAATCGTTCTCTCTGTGTATGCAATATATTTATATTTAGTCTTTCTCGTTCGCGGCCTCCCGTCTACTTTATCTCGTAATTTCCACTTCTCACTGTTGAGTCATGAGAACGATTCGTTCGGTTCTTCCCGAAAACTCGGCTCTCCTTTCGGTCCGGCTCCGGAACTCCGACGGATGCCCCTACGGTCGATGGACGTCGGGATCGATTTCTCACGATCGCCATCGCGTTCGATTTCACACGGGCGTGCGTGTCTGTGTGTAAGGCGTGGCACTTGCAGGATATGAAAAATCAATCGCACACATCGAAACTGCACCCTACGACGACTTCGCCTCTCGTTTCGTCCGGCGCTCCCGCGGTGATCGCGACACCCCGCGAGAGGGATGTTTGTCTCGCTACACGAGATACCTCGCTGCCATTCGATCGCGTTCGACAGAGTAGGCCATTCGTTGATATCGCATCGAAGTTCACAGGGTGAGTTTTGCCGCGTGCATCAGAATGACGAGACCACGACGGGGCTAGGCAGAGCGCTGCGGCGATAGTGAGAGTAGAGGCACGCTGGCAGGGCCTTCCCCGTCGAGTGAGCGTCATACCGGAGTCTCGAAAGTCACCTGAAACGAGCATTTCGCGAATCGAACAGCCCAACTCGTGCCCAACAGTAAAGTTGAATAAAAGAAAAAGAAAGGAGGAAGCGATAAAGAGAGAAGGCAGAAGAAGCGAGAAGATGATGAAATGTGCGTAAGCAGCGACTTTGCCGGGCAGTGTTGTTTGATCGAGCGACCTCGGAAATAGGGCCAAGCACATAAATTTAATTAGAATGTCAAGATTGACACGCGGAAACTGTAATTACGTCCCTCCGGAACGCCGCCGATGGCGCATTTAATCGCACTAAACAATTCCAGCGCGCTCGTTAAGGGTAAGTCGGCAAATATGGCTTCTCTTGATACACGTATACGCCGACAAATGAAGTGCGCTCGGACGACTATCGGCACGGCTCCGACCCCTCCCCCCCCCCCCTTGTAACGGCGATGTAAGCGTACATTTCGATTGTTTGAAGAGGAAGCGTTAATGACATGGCCGGCGAAGCCGTATTCTCTGTCCGTCGTCAGAGCGAGCGACGCGGTGTGTCAACATGCGCGATGTTATGTTTAAATAATCCCCAGACATGTCGCGGCGCATACAGTAAGATTGCTGCACGTAGCAGCCTAACGAAACTGCTGCTGGAAGCTTGCAACGTAAAAAAAGCCCACGTCGCTTCGTTAAATGCCAAGGGGAAGAGCGAGAAAAGTACGACGAGGAGAGATTTCGCGTCGTCTCCGTAGGCGTTTCCGCGAGCGGTTTACCTTCGAGTGCCTCGCAGCTCGCTTTACTCGACGACTCGATCGTCGTCGTCGGCGGCGGCGGCGGCGGCGGCGGCGGCGGTATTTTTCGGCGGGAAAAGCGTAAAGCAGACTGACTTTTGAGACTGATTTGCGTGGACATGGGGCGGGAGATGATCGCCGTCGCGTGCGCGCTGACGCGAGGTTCGCTGGGGATGAGGTTAAGGACGGTCTCCGCGATGCTGGAGATTCCATCGTGCTCACGAGCTCGTGTGTGTGTGTGTGTGTGTGTGTATGATAAAACGATCAGTACCTCGTAACCTCGTATCGAGAACAAGATAAACCCACCTCTCGGGCCGCTTTTTTCGATCGCTTCCTCTCGAGCTTCGGTGTCTGAGGTAGCAGGGTGTAGTCGCCACCAGCACCCCCGCTTCGCTGCCGCGCCAACGGAGGATGGGACAGCAAGGGTGCTCGCGGAGGTGGCGAGAATTGGACACCCTGCGGCAGTAACGAGTAGCCGACGAGATCCCGGCCCTGAATGAACGGCGAGGTCGACGGGAAGTGATTCGCCACCACCGGCGCCCAGTACTGATTCGAGTACCGGGACGGGATATTCCCTGGGGACAGAGAAATCACGTACGACCTAACCATCCTGTACGACTCGGTTAGCCTTTAAAGGTCTTGAGCGTCTATAGCTAAGTGTCGTCGCGCTTCGTGTCGTCGGAGCGACCGGTTACGTAAGCCGATCGAGACCGAAGACCTTTCGCCACGGCAAAACCGCCACGACGGAACGAGCGAAGTGTTACGTTGCGATCTCGGCCAAGAGTCGACGGCGGAAGTAGCGGAAAAGAGTCTATATACGAAAAGGAGGAAAGAAGTGAAGCGACCGCGTCGCGTTCTCACGTGGTATTCACGAAGACACGCTCGACACCGCTCGGCTCGCAAGAGAAGAAGGCTCGGACACGGACTTACTGTCGCTACGCGAGTTGCTGTACCGCCTCTGCGCCTTCCAGGTCGTCGATCGAACCCTTCCGGCGACTTCGGTGTTAACAGCGTCGACGCTGATGCTTCTCGAGACTCCCCTGTAAGGATGCGACGTGGCGTTCTCACCGGCGGTCGCAACACCAGCGAGCTGCTCGTTAAGGGCGTACAACTTGGACGTAATGTCCTTACCGATGAGGGTGTTGAGGAGAACCTTGAGCAGAGGCCTGTGCCGGAGCACCCTTTGCAACTTGAGCCTCGTCCAACAGATGTACGTGCTGTATTCCTCGGCCCGTATCGTCACCTGGAAGACGTCGTCGATGTTTTCGTGCATGGCCTCCCATTCGGGTGAGTCGACGAATTGGTAAGCTCTGATATAGTGCAAGTGGGTCCCGTCGCAAGTTACCTTCAGTCTGCAACCGAGAGGAGGACTCAGAAACTGAAACTGCGCTGCGCGACCGGCGCGACTCGCCTGCGTCTTGACAAAGAGAGGACGTCGGATGGAAACTCTCTCTCTCTCTCTCTCTCTCTCTCTCTCTCTCTCTCTCTCTCTCTCTCTCGCTCTCTCTCTCTCCCTCTCTCTCTCTCTCTCTCTCTCTCTCTCTCTCTCTCTTGAATGAACTCGAGTGAGATAACAGATAGGCGCAGCCGATGAAAAGATCGCCAATTCAACGAGAGAGAGAGAGAGAGAGAGAGAGAGAGAGAGAGAGAGAGAGAGAATACGATCCCGACGAGCGTCGAGATGAAAGAAATTCCGGGATCGTACACTCGCCGATATTAATCTTCGCCCGCGAAAGCGATCAAGAATAAGAGACGGAAGGATTCATAGCTCTCTATATTAATCCAGTTTCAATTAGAAGGAGACCAGCTCTCCTCCCCGATGAAGGAGATACTTTTGTCTCGGAGAGAAAAGTTGTAATTAAAACGCGGAAAGATGCTCACCTCCCACGTAAAAGGATAGACAGCCTCTCATCTGCCGCCGTGACTCCTTCCGTCGCATAAGTCTGTCCGGGATCCAGCTTGTATATCCTCGCTTCCTTCGCCAGCTCCTGGAAGTGCTTCTTGCTGACCTTATACGGCTTAAAGAGCTTCATATACAGCTCGGCTAGCTCGGGGCTGAGAGCAGGCGGCAAGAATCGGCAGGCTAGTATCAGCGAATGTATGCCGTTAAGCAGACCGAGGGTCAAGCACCACAGCATGGCGTCCAGGGCGCATATAGTGATCCCGGCCCAAAGAGCCGCCAGCATGAAGCCCACCGTGAGACATGTGCGAAGAGCCAAGATGGAAATCTTGAACCAGCGCGGCACCAGAAATGCAAACGCAAAAAATATATTCGCCGCCTGAAATTAACAACGCGACGAATGAATCTATCGGTCCTAACGTGGAGAACGCTCGTCGGCTTCCGCGTTTCCCGCTCGAGCACGATAGGGACTATCGGTGTCCTCGGGACTCTATCGTAACCGGGAGGGTCGCGCTCGAACTGAGACAGAGATACCGTGCTCTCGTAATTTATTCGAGAGAAAAATTCAGGGAACCGATTTAATCAAGCGACGGATGAGAGAGGGAGAGAGAGAGAGAGAGAGAGAGAGAGAGAGAGAGAGAGAAAGAGAGAGACGACAGCATGAATCTAAAAGTTTCGCGCGGAGAAGAATCCTCGAGCGCGAAGGACTCAAGGGTGAAGGTTCACCTGGAAGAGCTTGTGCTGCGCGGCCTCCCACTCGTCGCAGTAGCCGTCCGGTATGAGTACCGTCGTATTCAGTCTCTCGGTGACGTTGTTGACCTCGGTGCCGTTCCAGACGTCTACCCACAATTCCGTGTAGTTGAGGTCGTCCAGCGAGTAGCCGCCGAGGCTGGGCAGACCGCTGTAGTTGAAGGTGTAGCCCTCGCTCGAGTAGCTCGCCGATGTCGACGGGGCGGTGAACGGCGCCGTCGTCGAGGACGAGAGAAGGCTGTCGCCGGTTGTCGCGGATGAGTCGGTCGTGTTCGCCATTCTTCGTCGAGGGCGCGTGTAACGTGCCATCACCTTTGACCCCTGCAAGCGAGCGTCGAGCATTAATTTTCCTAAAATCCTCGAGATTCCCCGCGAAGCACGTCATTGCACGGGTATCGTTGCGCAATAAAATGAGGAGAAAGAGAAAAAGAGAAGAAGAGTAAGTGGTGAGCTTAGGAAATAAGAGAACCAGTCAGTGAATATCGAAATACGAACGTAATTTAACGGAAGGAATCTCCGCCGATTAGCACCGCGGAAAATTATTCGTCTTCGACCAGATATCCGACATCTTTGTCGGATGGACATTGGCAGCCAATTAAGACGCTGCATTTTGAGCGAAAGCGAGAAGAAAGAAGAGAGAGAGAGAGAGAGAGAGAGAGAAAAGAGAGATTACCTTCTTTCGAACAATTTTTCGATATCCGGCGACGTTCCCAATACGTCGTCGGGCTGACCTTTGGTATCGAAGCGCCGTATATATATATATATATATATATATATATATATGTATACCCTCGGCCCTCTAATTTATCGAAATTACATTTAAGCACTGGCTGTCAGATTCGCGATGAATCCCGAAAATGACGGCGATTAGCGTGGAATATCGATTCGGCGGCTCTTCGTGATTCAGGATGCAATATCTAAGCTTTATTATCTTCGAGGTCGCGGCGAGAAGGGCTGCGTGACTTTAACGTTTCGTTTCGTCGGGCCGAAGATTTCGCGGGATATTTTCTGACCGAGCGGCGAAAATCTCGAAATAGCATGCAGTTAAGATCGGCCCACGTCATCGCTCAGGGTAGTCGATCTTATCTGCCTTAGGGTTGAATACTTAGGGGCGACTGTACATTACGCCCCGAAACCGCACAAGCGCAACCCCCCTGCCCCCCTCCCCCGAGAGCGGAGCGCCGAAACTGAACAAAACCTCCCGGTGGCGGGCTTTTAGGGATGCTTCTCATGCGCAAAACACGTCTCTGTAACTTACATCCCGAAACCACACGCCGAGTTACACATAAAGCCCATTTCGCTCGTTTCTTGTCGTCACCGTCGCTTCGATCCAACGATTTCACATGATTTCTTAGCTGTACATGCACTGTATTAGTAATAACTAACAATTTGCGTCGCGATAACTTCCGCGGATGGCCCCGAGAGAATCAACGGACGTCGTCGTTGCGCGCAATTAGAAGAAACCGGCTAACTGACGATACGCGAAAACACTGAGACGAATCGCCGTGAACAGCCATGAATATCTCTCTCGTATATTAAGTAGCAAGAGAGAAAGAGAGAGGGGGAGAGAGAGAGAGAGAGAGAGAGAGAGACGCGACATTCTTCATTATTCGGCGAAGAAACGCCTCATTGGCTCGGAATCAGCTGGGGTTCGATAGGAAAATCAACGGCTCGCGCAATCCGGTTGGAATAAATAGAGGGAATAAAATTACGGAGGAAAATGTCCATTATCTTTTATTGCAAGGCGCACTCGCGTCACCGACGCTCGTGCGAGCTCCGCGAGCGACCAGGCGGACATGCCAGAAATATCATTTAGTCTTTTCCGCTGGCACAGCAAGCGCCAATAAGCGAATCCTCGGAATGATTCAATATCATCATTCGATTTTCGATATTTCCGTCCGAGGTGGCCGGCGGCGGGGCCGATGTCGCGCGCGCTCGCTCGCCTAACAAAACTACGTCGACTCGCCGGAAATTCGTTAGGGCATTCTTTCCGGGCCGATTCAACAGTCGCGCACAATAGGAGTAACACCGGATCCTAGGGGGATCGAGGGAGGCCGCCAGGACACGGATATTCCGAGGTTCCGGCTAGGCCGAGCTGCTCGAAAATTTATATTCCGACAGAAACGCGATATTTAATTGAATATCTCGCGGCTTTTCTTGCGAAAGAATATCGCCTGCGGATATAAATGTAGTTTCTCCGCGCCAAGTTTCGCGAGAAGTAACGAGAAATGGTTATTTTCGCATGAAGGAGTCACAAATTGATGGCCGCGATTCTCCGAATACGAATACGAGTACGAGACGGTCGGGCGTAGAATTTAAATAACGTAAAACGCACACACACACATACACCGCGATATATACCGCGCTCAGATTGTATTAAGCGTCCCAAATCCAGAGACTAATTTTACCTGAAACGAGTCGGATGACCGTTCACGCTCGATCCACCCTCGATACACTTACTCTCTTTCGCGCGCGCGGAAAACTCCTTAACGTATATAAACCGATCTCTCGCGAGTTCGCGCGATCACGAGAGAGAGTTAACGTCTCCTCCGCCTCGGCAAGGGCAACGCGTGCGTTTCGTATGCAAATCCTAATTCGCGGCTTAGACCACGCCGCGATACAAGTTTGATCCTATCTTGATATCCTTTTGCTTAATCTCGTGACGTGAGCTATTCCCCGCGAAAGGAAACGCGAAGTAGCCAGATAATCGGCTTTACGAGCGAGATTTCAACTACAGATTTCGCCATTTTCTCGTAATGCGCCGCATGCACGTGTGTGTGTGTGCGCGTGTTGTACATGCATATCCCCGCATGACGTACTCCGCAAATATGTGTTTGCTAAGCATGCGAGAAGCACCGTGAAAATTTCCGCCGTTCGTGGAATTTGGTATTGATATCATAAGTAACCGCGGCGAACAAACTTATTCATCTTCGGACACTCAGCCAAGCGATCAAGCGATAGAGAATCGCACGTTCTGATTTTCTTTGCATCCTGAACATTTATCTTCGACGTACAGCGCAACGCGTTATCGCGATCGATTTATTCTTGCACGTACCGATCGATCGATCGATCCCATCGGTGTGACGTGGCAAGCGCGGCAATCTGCCGCGAATTCGGAACGAACGAGTTGGCCGAAGATGCTTCTTACGGGCGGCCGAAAAGTTTGAAGGTCATCGTGCCTCTGTATCGACTTAGCTCGTATGCTAATTAAGCACGAAAGCGGTGAGAGCTTTCGTGACTGGTCGTGCTCACTATCGCCCCCAGAAGACCTATTCGCGAGTTCTGTGGGCTCGGCTGGGTCAGGGTAAATCACGTGACATCATAACAGGGTGTGGTGATTTACGCGAGGACTCTACCGCCGTGCTGCAACCGGGTGCAGCTTGCGCGATTAAGACGCGCGTCGAATTTTCGCCGCCGGAGGCACCGCGAGAGATCGCGAGATCCCAGGAGGGGTCAAGTTGTGGTGGTCGCGCAAGGGGGAATTTCGGCCCGAAAAATTTCAGCCGGGGCTCTCGAGGGTGTGAGAGTAAATACACACGGTGGTGTTGGGGTCACGCGATCCAGGCGTATCTACGTACAGCGTGCACGATTATCTCATTTATCTTGATTGTCTCGAATGGGAACGCGCGTTAATAAATTTCCAATTTGAAATTTCATTTAAGCGCGGTAGGATAATAATGCTCGCCTCCTCTCTCTCTCTCTCTCTCTCTCTCTCTCTCTCTCCCTCTCTCCCTAATGTGTCATATTACTCGGTAGAAAGATAAATGGCCTTTGATGGCCCAAGTTTTAGAGGGTCAGGTCGCGTTTAATTAGAAACGCAGTCACTACAGGTCCCGCCCGAAGGACATAATAATAATGTTGAGCCTTATTTAAGCGCTCGCTGCGTCATTCTTTCCGATTGTGCTTTCGGTTTAAATCGCGATAATTGGCCCGATGCTGCAATTAACGCATGCAATTGGTTAGCCAATAAACCGACCAGTAGCACCGACAGCACCTGGCGGAAAGGCCAGAAAAGGCCGAGCGCGCTCCGTTTTACCGCGCTCATGCCGTGAGTCTGTATGTAAATCAGGTCTCCTGAAAATATGAAAATAATCTTGTCGACGGGCAAGATATGGCTCGCGTGACGACAGGCTTCCTTGCGATTTTACTTCCGTTTGCCACTTTGTTCCGACCTCGAAGATATCGGCTCGCGGTATAGGAAATGTCGGTTTCACTTTAGCTAATTGCCAGGAAATTCCCGGGGGATTAAAAATACCCGACTGTGAGCACGACGGTGTCGCACGACTGTCGATATTTCACGGGGTCGCATGTAGCGATGAATGATATAAATAACATAGACGGCGAAACAATGACGACGGACACGTATTTTTATTGATGCGAAAGGATAGGGAAAAGGATTCATTGGAAACGGTCGATCGCCCTCCTCTCCCTCCCTCCCTCCCTCCCTTCCTCCCTCCCCCTCTCTCTCCCTTCCCTTCGCTCTGTCGGAAAATAATTCCGCCGGCGACGGAGGTCTTGAAACACTAAATCCGGCAATAAAAATGCAAACGAGAAAGATAACTGAAGCACACCGACGACGGCGGTCGTCACGTCAGCGCTCCGGATCGTCCTGGAATCAGACGGCCGGACACGTTCTGTCGCTTGCGATTCCACGTTTCCACGGTGGCCCAGAGGCCGCTTGTCGGACAGCTTTCGAATTGGATTAACCAGCGGACAGTCCGGCGGAGCCACCCCCTTCGCCCTTGGTTCCCTCCACGAGTCCCACCTACGAAACGGCGAGCGACAAGCTGCGGGAAACAACGGACAGCCGCGCAACGTCTCCCTGCCGGCCGCGCTTGATCGGCCAATCCAATTTATGCCGATGAAATTACCCGAATTATTTCCCATGCTCCTCGTGGAGAGATGGCCTGCCTATTTCCGCGCATCACCGGCGTTCCCCGCGATCTCTTTCCGCGATAATATCCGCGCCCAGTACATCCCCGTGTATTTATTTCATCCCTCGCCGTTGGCGATAGGTACGACAAACAGCCTGTCGTCTATCGTTCTTTCCTCATTCCCTCTTTCGCTCCGCTTGGTCTTTGTCGTCAAGACTGATTTTGGTAAATATATATATGGGAAAGGGTAGACCTCATCGATGTTTTTCATTTTGAAATATGTTATAAGGGATGAAATTCTGAGTGACTTTTCCTAATACAATTATATGGGGGTCGCTTACAGTTTCTGAGATATTTGACTTTAAAGTTTTATACGTTGTACGTTGAAGTACAATATATTTGAAGTAGAGGTAAATATATAGAAAGGGGTGCACCTAATCGGTTCTTTTCATTTGGAAATAATTTGGTTATAAAGGATGAAATTCTGAGTGACTTCCTGATACAACTATATGGGGGTCGCTTATAGTTTCCGAGATATTTGATTTTAAAGTTTTGGAATTTTGATTATCCTGGAGTTAAATTGCAGATATCATAAGCTGACGTTATTTACAGTACAATCCAAACAGTTAATCCAAACATAGTGTATACATAGAAATATAGGAAACAGTACATATAAGCGGGAGAGGGGTTCCGCCCCTCCACCGCACACCTCCTTCCCAAAAAAATCCTAACCTAACCTAACTTATTGCATCTTTATATATTGTTGGGCGATGTTGAAAAGATCTCCTTAAAGGCCACAACACCTAATTATACGCAGATATTATAACAAGTTAAGTTGAGCCAGGTGATAGATCTTAAGAGAACTTGTTTCAACAATGTCCAAAAATATATAAAGATACAATAAGTTAGTTTAGGCGAGGATTTGTTTGGGAAGGGGGTGCGGGGGAGTCAAATATCTCAGAAGCTATAAGCGACTCCCATATAATTGTATTGGGAAGTCACTCAGAGTTTCATCCTTTATAACATATTTCAAAATGAAAAAAGTCGGTGAGGTGTTGTACCCTTTTCCATATATTTACCCTGATTTTTAATCCGCGATAGGACAAGGGACATTTCATGAGAAACGGGTCTCCATGGTCGAATCGAGTCGAGAGCGACAGGGAGGGCAGAAATCGGCTCGTCGCTTCCGCGAATTTCCGCGTTTATCCGACTTTGGTGAGTCGTTGATCCGCAGACGAACGCGCTTACCGCGTTACCGCGTTTCGCGTTTAACGATAAAAGAACCTCGGTAATTCGCAGGAGGGCTCGTGGGCGGATGAGAACCTGTCAGCCTCCGTCGAGATGTCATGTCCGTCGAGATCCTCGCTGTGAAGCATGTTGGACTTGCGCCTAGACGAGGCCGAGGAACACTTGTTGCCCCGTCACAAGCTTGTCGTGCGCGAGTCCATCGCACGTAAATAGTTTCGCGCGACTTCTCGACCTCCGCTCGAGACTCGTGCGCGATTACCTCATAAGTAAAATGAGAATCGCATGTGACAGCGCGTTGTCCTCTTTTCGTGCCCGCGCCTCAGACCCCTTCTCGCTATTGTGTGCATCTTTCGGAGGTATGTCGCTCATGTTCGCCGCGAGTCAATGGATTAAACGAACGGTCGAGTTCGCCTGCCGATCTGCGGTGCGGAGCTGCGCCGAACCAGGAGTCGATTGTATTAAACGCTACTTGGACAGCGCGACATCGTGACCCACAATACGAGCGCTCCGCTAAGCAGGGCTTGCGAGGGGGTTAAAGGGTCACCGCTTAGGCGAACGGTGAGACTCAGTTGCCACCACAGTGGAGCGGAGTAAAATTCCGTCCAACTTGCGCGGTATAATGCTACTTATCGCACAAAGCGGCAGACTCTAACTAAACAGAGAGAAGAAGCGAGAAAAAGCGAGAAAAAGAGAGAGAGAGAGAGAGAGAGAGAGAGAGAGAGACAAACACGCGGTGCGCGCCGGAAGAATCCACAAACTCGAGGAAATCCGATACCGCGTGGTCGATCGCGCGCAAGTAACACGTCGACAACTCATCAGCGGAGGTGCTCGAATCCCCCGGGCCACATGAGGCTCGAGGGTCGTAAGGGGCTGTAAGACGATTTGACGAAGCAGCTTCTTCCCAGTAAACAGCCTGCAGCCGAGAGCGGTACGCTGGTCGCGATATAAAGCAGAGCGGAGTGGAGCGGAGCAAAGTGTGGGGACGGCGCGGGCGCCGTGCGAAGAGAAGAGAGAGGGCTATCGACCCTTTCGACATCGGGCAGGAACCACGCGGTCTGCGCTACGTGCAACCCTTCTTTAGGGTAAAGGCCGCTACACACCGCGACGCACGTGTCGCGAACCATGTCGGCGGCGGCGGCGGCGGCGGCGACTCGTGAATTCCGCCTGGCCGGCCGCGCCGAGGCACGAAATTCCGAGTTCCAAATCGGGAGACGAGAATCACCTGTGCCAGCCGGGGTCAAGGATATCGCGACACCCGGCTAACCGCCGTGAGTCCCGATCTATGTGAGTATTGTGCATGTCGCTCAACTCGGGGGGAGACGTATTATTACGTGTGTAGCGCATACATGTGTCGCATGCGCGCGCGCGCGCGCGCACACACACACACACACACACACACAGACACAGACACGCACTGACTAATTTTACACCGCGGAACGCGTAGTTTAATACAGATATGTAGGTGCTTTAACAACGCGTAGCTCAGTATGATGTTAAAACTACAAGGCTGCAACTAATTGGCGCATCCATAGTTGAACTATAAATCGACGAGTTGAATTATAAATCGTAATTGCGATTATTCGGAACTGATCGGCCGCGGCGTGAATTAACGCACGTGTCCGTGTAATTAAAAATGAAATCGTTCGCGTTTGAGAGCGCCCCGCGATCGCACGATCCGATGTTAAGAGTCCCTCCCTCTCTGAACTCGTTTCCTCTCGTTCCCCTTTAACGGCGGGAAAGTGTTAAGGTCCCGCTTCGCCCTTACGTGGGAGATCGTTGCGAATCGTTGTCGGCGAAGTTCGTCGCTGGTTCGTTACTTGCAAGTCTCGACGTCTCTCTTTGCACGAACGTGCAACAGGTAAATACTCTAACGTCGCATGTCATAATTAATTTCTTTTTTCTCTTTCGCGTCGCCTGTTAATCGAGACAACGAACGCGACCGATTAGGGAGATTACAACGCGGGATAGCGATCTTGATGCTTGAGAAATATTTAATTCCCCGCAACACACACGAGCGTGTTCGTACACCTCGCGAAAACGGTACGACAGACGTGCTCGCTTTCATCGCGCGCGCAGCTCGTCCCCGAGAGACGTTACGCAGTCGGGCGATCTCTCGAGCTTACGTAGCGACCAGGTGATTCGATCGGTCATTCGATTTTCACGCGGCAACGCCTTCCGCGTCCTTACCTTATGGTGGATAAGCGATATGTCTTTTGGAGTGTAGGATGATACACCTCAGTCTACTGTGGGTGTGCGTCGACTGCAGCGAACACCAAGACGCTCGGCTTCCTCTGTCCTCGTCGGGATTCGCGACGCGAACGAACATCACTTTACGCGACACCATCGCAACCGATCACTTTTCTCGACTTCGATGTGCTCGCCACGTGAGGAAGGGATCGTGCGGATCGATCACGTGTTTATCACTACAGAGTCACAATAATTTACGGCGAGTCTCCCGTTACTCTTTTTGTTCTCTTTCGTTCTCTCTTTTGTTTCTCTTCCCGTTTTAACGAAACGTTCCTGATCTCTCCCCGCGGGGGTCTTGATCTCGGTATGCTTGAAACCTGAAACATCACACGATCCGTGAAAAATCAGCCTCTGAAAATTCCCTTGGGTTCGCCTCTTCCTTTTGGCTATCGAGAGAGACGCGACATTCGGACCAAGTGACACGAGAGAAAGAGAGAGAGAGAGAGAGAGAGAGAGAGAGAGAGAGAGAGGGCGTGATAATTATTTATTAATTATTTAAAATTACCTAAAATTAGGAGACGGGTCGTACAAGTAAGCGAGAAAAAGTGGCATTTTATTAGTCTATTTTTAACCTTCGTCGATACGCCGATAATGTCCAGAGACTCGGACATTGCAATTCTCTCCGTCGATTAACGCCTACATTTCAGATTTGGAAATTCAAGTCAGCCGTTTGCTCGATTTAGAATTTTAACGGACTATCAATATCGGATGACTGTGCGAGTGAAATCCTAAATTCGAATCCTCGCCTCTATTCTGGAGACGGAAAAAAGTATCGTCCTTCCATGGCGAGACGATCTCACTTTCGAACATCATCGTTATCATCATCATCATCATCATCATCATCATCATCAACAGTCATGTCTCATCAGCTGTTTTATCCGTGATCTGATTAATCATTGCCGACACGACAGTCGACTTAAGCGAGACTGTCATCATCTCGCCGTCACTAAATCGCCTCGGCACGGATTATCCCCTTGAATATATCCTGTGGTTCAGGACGCCAGGTGTTCTTGCATCAGCTGCGGACCAATCGGAAGGAATCTGCACGAGCCCGTTTATATGCACAATTAAAACGGTCAAAATAAAGAGGCGGTTTCTCTTTCGCAACCGCAGAGAGTGAGAGAGAGAGAGAGAGAGAGAGAGAGAGAATCAACGACCGCACACCGCGGACGCACAATTTGCTCTCATTCCGGATCAATAGCGATCATACATTACTCATCTCTTGCTCATCTCATCTTTTCCGCAGAGCTCGTTCAAAGGCGTTCAAACGAGATACATGTTTTAACCACCGCGGGGGGGAACCCGAGGAAAGGGGGAGGGAGGAGAGACGTGTTTGCGAATCCGTGAGAATCGAGGCGACAGAGGCAGATCGCGATCGTCGGTTCTCGTCTCCCTCTACCTCTCTCTCTCTCTCTCTCTCTCTCTCTCTCTCTCTCACTCTCTCTCTCTCTCTCTCTCTCTCTCTCTCTCTCTCTCTCGCGATCAGCCGAGCCAGCGAACGAGTCAACAATCGCGCGACGTGCGAAACGCACGTTCTTTCATCATGCCACTAATCAATAACAATAATCACGCATCCCTCATCATCTCGCGCATCCGCGACCCCGTGAACTCCGATTATGGAGCGACAGGCCTTGCCTGACCAGCGAGATCGTCGCCGTCAACACTCTCTCCCTTGATAGCTCCGCGGAGCCGCTCGAACACGCGCGACACCCTCTCCAGCATCCTTTGCTCTCTTTCTTTCTCTTTCTCTCTTCCTCTCTTGCACACACACACACGCGCGCGCACACGCACACACACACACATTCTCTCTCTCTCTCTCTCTCTCTCTCGCGCTCTTTCTCTCCCTCTATCTACCCATCTATCCATCTACCTATCTGAACGCACCGGATGTTCAGTCCACTCGTCAGCAAGGGCACAGCGGCGACGTCGGCCCAGGAAAAGGGTCGTGTCCTTCGGAACACTGTTTACACAGCAGGACAGGCGCCATGGTCACTGCCGCCAGGAGCGAGGAGTGATCCTCACACCGACGGCATGTCCTTCGTCCTGCTGGCGGTGGCGATGACGATAACGTCCTCCTGCTCGCCGCACAGAGTCCGAGTCCCAGGACACGGCATCATCGGGAAGAGGAGAACGGCGGCGACGGCGACGGCGACGACGACGACGGCGACGGCGACGGCGACGGCGACGGCGACGGCGACGGCGACGGCGACGACGACGGCGACGGCGACGACGACGACGACGACGACGACGACGGCGACGACGACGACAATGACGACGACGACGACGACGACGACGACGACGACGGCGACGGCGACGACGACGACGACGACAATGACGACGACGACGACGACGACGACGACGGCGGCGACGACGACGACGACGACGACGACGACGACGACGACGAGGCACGCAGGACGACCGTCCGTACGCTCATCTCCGCGCGAAATCTCCTTGCCGATGCGCGCATACAGAGTACGCCAGCCTTGCTCCCGTCAACCCCACGGAGAGCTTCTCACCCTCTTAGCCACCCACTCGCCCACTCCTCCCGCCGCCTTGGCCGCTTTCAACCCCCTCGCGCTCGCTCGATCGTCTCTGGCGCGCGTACGCTTCGCCCTCTCGCTCTCAGCCACCCTGCTGAGGGCGCGAAACTGTGCAGCGGAGGTTGCACGCTCCGCACGACCGCCGCACGATGACGCGCCTCTGGGGGCTCTCGCGATACTAAGCCACCCTTAGAACTAGCGCCACGCCCTCCGCGTAGGTGGCACCACCGCTCGCTAACCCCTTTCCGAGGCCGAAGGTCTTGCCTGGAGAGTCCTTCGAAAGTGTTCTTCCCTCCACCATTATCGGCGAGGTGCGAGGCTCTTTCCACAGATCTCGTGTCCTTTGTCTTTTCCACCCTCCTCTCGTCCTCGCTCGCTCCTCTCGCTAGCTTGGTCGCCCCCTCGTTCGTTCCTCCGTACGAGCCTTCGTTTCGTTCCTACCGCGTCGCGAGCTTTCTTCCTTCGCTGGAGCTCGGTTTTTTGCACGATGAACGTGCTCGTAAAACGGTAAGACTTATTAAGGGTGGATGGGGGCTGAAAACGTTTTCTGGGAAATTTGACAATTGAGCGCGCGTAACTTTAATCAGGTCAGCGGCGCTAACACGGTGAACTTAATTCGTAAACGTGTAGACGTGTGGATGACCTTATCTCTTGGCGCGAGAACTTTTTTCGAGAAAATTGCGGGAGAACCGAGACGGGAACGTTTAGCGGCTTATCGAGGATAAAATCACGCGAGAGGATCGGTCTCGTCGTCTGTGAAAAATACCGTCACGAAATACCTCTTGTGCTAAATACCGCACATGCTCTTTATTCATTCAATTATAAATAGTCGGGTTGTTTTTTTTAATTTGCTTGAATATCCGGGCACTCTTCTCTCGTGTATTATTTTGTTTTCCTCTTGTAAAAATCTCGTCTTTTGTAAGAAATTCTCTATCCTCTCTAGTCGATCGTGTCGATCCCTCGATCGATCTTTGATATTTACAAAAATGTTATATAGGCGCGTTTATGTGGAGTCACTTAGCAACGTTGCACTTACCTAATATGTGAGCGCGCGCGCGCACGCGCATATTTTGTTCCTTTTAAAAATTATTTAAAATACTCTCACAAACGTCCTTTTTCCCGAGCTAAAACTCCCTGTAAATCCTCCGAGTTCTTCGATATTTACAGATATATACAGAGCGTTGAATTTACACTGTTCGCGTAACTTCCGAAAGGCGCTTTCGTTGCGATCTTCGTTGCTGGGCAACAAACATACATAGGTCAATATCGTAAAATGCGTGGATTAGCATGGACGCGTGCTTCGATGTGAACGTTAACGGTTTCTTCTTTAATGAAAATTCAAAGAGCGACGATTGTGGACCTCGCCGAATTGTCCCGCCGAGAGAGAAAGAGAGAGAGAGAGAGAGAGAGAGAGAGAGAGAGAGAGAGAGAGAGAGAGAGAGAGAGAGAGAAAGAGAGAGAGAGAGAAAGAGAGGTCGACAAGCGTTGCGAGCGAGCGTTGAAGTCCAAAAGAGAGAGACCTACAGAGACGCTATTTGGACATGAAGAAAGAGATTTTCGCTATTTCCCTCCGTGTCGCTCGCTAGTTGTCGGGATACGATTCCCAGTAGTCCATGTTTCTGCAGTCGAAGGCCTGCGCGTCCTGATCGTTGAACTCGTCGTCTTCGAGCAAGCTCTCGTGGTTCGAGTAGGAGGCGTGGTGCTATTCCTCGTCGACGATCTCGCAACTGTGGTACTTGCTGGAGGAGTCGAGCCAGCTTTCTACGCCGCTGGAGGCCAGGTCGTCGCAGGACGGCAGCTCCGGCAGGGGCTCCATGTTCGGCGCGCCCTTCTTCGTCAGGTTGTTGATGGAACGGTTCTTGGTCTTGGTCATGCTAACTGAAACGAGAGAGGAGGAGGAGGAGTAGCTGATTAACGTGGCTTGATTACGTTAGAATAACGCGACTTAACGCGCGGTTGAGACTAAGAAAGAGTCCGTTAAAGCGGCATTTCGATCGTACAACTCGATATGTCTCGAGTCACACTACGTACTGTTGTTTGACGTTGGTTTAGTTTCTTTCTTACGAATCAGCGCGTGTCTATAGGCTCGAGGACTTCTGTACTCGCTGCTCATCCCTAAACCGGCGCTGATCGAAGGGAGACGAATGTCCAAGTGCGACCCTTTGTCCGTAACTATCTAAAATTCCGGTGAAACAAAGAAAGAGCATAGTTGAAGAATCAAAAGACGGGTAAAAGATCTGATAATATCTTGAGTTAAAGATAAGTTAAAGAAACAATAATAACTCATCACAGTTACAAATAAGTCAAATTGAGTAAAATCAGTAAAAATTAAGTAAAATTAATAAAATTAATAAAAAATTAATAAAAAGGTGAAGGCAATAAATAACCGTAAGTCACCTTATTATTCATTGCGTACAACTTTGTCGCGATATCTCTCGCCACCAGCGTGGTCAACACGGTCGCGAGGTAAGTTTCTTTCACCAGGAGATACTCCAAGGCTGACCTCTGCCAATACAAGTATCGGCACGAACTCGCCGCTACGATGGACACCTAAGACAGGTATTTAGCCTAATACTGTAATAACTTGGCTAATCTTCCACCGTACCTGGCGGTACGCCAAGAGTCGCCAACAGTAAACAACAGGGAAAACGAAAAAAGAAAATCAAAGACCGACCTTGAATTTGTCATCGACGGAAGCTCGGGAGCTCTCGAATTCCGGCGAATCGAGAAACTCGCAGGGCAATATCGGGTGCAGAAAATTGTTGTCGCTGAGAACGTTGACTTTACCGCTAAGCAGCAGGCCCAGCCTATCCGTTTTCGTCAAGTTCTGCATCGCGTACGCCTCGCCCGCGTGGAGGGACATTATCGTCGCGAATTCCGGCGATACCAAACGCTTGAATTGCAAACGCGAGACCTACGGGTACGTCCAACAGATTCAACGGAGGTACAAAGCGATCGCCAAAGTTCAACGATTGACCCGAGACAATCCTTCGCGATTCGTCGCGGAAACGCTTACCTTGAAGGGATAGAAAAGCGTGTGATAAGCTTCCTCCAGTTCGGGATCGAACTTGACGGGTCTCATTTGATAGAAAGTGTACACTAATTGGCCGATGTTGAGTAACAAGAAGCTAAAGTTCCAAGAGAAAATATCCGGTGCGCAAATTACATGCCAAGCCCATCCAGACAGCAACACAAACCCTGGAAGAGCGTAGACAGGGGAGAAGTGATGAAATTCGTAGTTGAGAAACTCGGATAGTTAATTATCGATAATCTCCAATTCTTCCGGCCGAAAGATAAATTGACGAAATGTTTTCCTCAAATAATCCTCGCACGTTCTTGCTTTCGCTATTGATCGTGACACCATGAGAGAGATAATAATTCTTCTATGATTATTTCTTTGCTTGGTTCGCTGTAAATTGTTGATAATTGTTAAATACTTACCGACAATTAGCACCGAGTGCATGAACAAAATGCCCTTTTTGGAAGACGGTGCCGAATACGAGAGCACGAAGCAAAAATTCGCCAGCTGGAACAAGACATGTTGCGGCTGTTGCCACAAACAGAGCGCGGCGTTTCCTTGAAGGGGATAAAGAAGAATGAATAGACTGATTTATTGGTTTTCATTATAAACTTTCTCTTCGCACAAAAGGCGACAATATTTCCGCCGCATGCGCGACATCTTTTCATCCGCATAATGCGTATTCTCCTCATTACTCCGCGTTTCTACGGACAAAAGGAATAATTGAAAAATCCAACGAGTTCCATCGATTCGCTCCTCGTGATTTTATGAATAGAAATTTTCGATATCGCGACACATGACAGAACGAAATCTCGTCGCACGATGCAGGAGTATTTTCTTCCTTCCGCCAAAACTCACCGATCGTAGTGATGTTGTAAGACGGCAGAGGATCGTGTCCCAAGCCAGGACTCATTTTTCTTGGGGCGAAGATATACTCTCACGTGTTAACAAGGGTGATGGAATCGACTGTCCATGTTCACTGATATTTCTCGACGAGAACTCGTTGTGTTTTCACCTCTCGCACATGCGGACGCTGAAGGATATCTCTCAGGGCGCATGTGCTGGCCCGTCAGGATCGATATCGTTTCCTGTCGGTCTGAAGGGATTAAACGTGATAATTTTGCAATACCGATCCGTGATAACAAGAAAACGCATGATAACGCATAAACTCGTACCATTAAAATAGATTGCTGTTTTAGGCAAGAAATTGTTAGCAAAGACCAGACTGTGTGAAAAAATATTAGAACAAAAATATAAATTCTGAAGAAACGTCAACTTAAAACTTTGAATCTCTGCCAATTTCGATTATGAGAATTTCCCCAGTATCATAACATCGCTTTACACTCCTCGTAAAAAATTCGTACACGAATTTCTTTGATATATTATGTGAAATAATTTTCAATAATGCGATATGTGCGGATGTATAGAAGGCAGCATACGATGCAATGCAATTACATGTAAAATAAAGATAGATCGTATAAAGTAATCCGAAGATCTTCTCTTAATCTCAGCTAGAATTTTGCGATAAATTTATCAGATTTTTGAATAGAAAGTCAGATTCACAAAAATAGTTCCATCGTGAATTTGAACTCGTTCGAACGTCGAAAATAATATCATTTGTGCATCGCAAGTAATGAGAGTGAACCGAATAATAGCGTATAATTTTGAAAGCTTTGAAGCTTTTTGCTTGAAAGTTGTACGCTAAAGTCATAGATTGTAAAGTATGTTTCGTATAGTTAACGAAATATACCAAATGTGTTCTCAAATGCAATTCAAGTTGGCAGTATTAGCGCCACCCGACGCGCGCGCTTTCGTTCGACCGGCGACGCGCTGAAGTTACTACAGAATCGATAAAGAGTCCAGAATGGAAGCCAGTCATAAACAGCTTATTTATCTTCGCAATAATCGGTCACCACAAGCGCTTGCAACGTGCGACAAGTCACTTTGGGGTTTCAAGTGAGTGCAAACCAAAATCCATCGTCAATCTCGCTGCTAATTAGAGCCTGAGAATTCGTTTCTCCGCCCAGTTAAACGGCCGGCGTGGAAGTTATCGTGTTTCTTGTGAAACTTAACCTCTCTTTGGGATGAGCCAGAAGCGCGTCCCTGGAGAACTTTTTGTCAGTCTCTCGTTATCTGTTCAGTTACGTGGATAAGTAAAATATTTGTTTGTGCGGATAAATTTGTTTGCACATTTAATCGGGGATTCAGTGTTACGACATTTTTATAGTTGTGATATGCAGAAAAAGAAATTGGATTAACCTAAAGAACAGTTGAAGAGAGAACGGAAAAGAACTTTCTGAATACTGGCATACACTGAGAAAACACGTGATTTTCTTACAGCTGCAGATGATCAATGTTGGACGGATGGTATTGCAGATCTATTGGCAACAACAATGCAGATGCAGAAGGAGAGGACGATGAAGATAGTCCCGAGGAAGAAGTGCCTAACTATAAAGACCAATACCGCAATCTCAAACGAAAGCTAAAGTTCCTGATTTATGTATGCAAAAAATAATGTTGTAATATGTCACTGTATATTTTCCATCTGCTAACGAAGTACTTCATATTAGGAGAATGAATGTTTTCAAGAGGCTTTACGCTCTACACAAAGGAAGCTACTCAAAGTAAACAGAGACAAGAGCTTCCTACTGGATCGTCTTCTGCAATATGAGAAAGTAGATGCATCATTCAGCGAGAGCGATGAGACCGAGTCGTCGGACGAGGAAGTTGTCCGTCTTGACAATTCTAAGCGGTAAATGAAACACAATTGTCAAAGTAGATTACTGACAACAAGATATACACGGACATGTTGCAACTTTCAGGAAAAAAGTTGAGATAAATGTCAACAATCATACTCCTCATCATCCATCAGTGGTTACAAAGCCACTCAGTACCAGTAAGAAGAAAAAGAGTACACCAAAAGTTGCTAAGACAAACAGCACACCTATAGTAAGCACATTCGTACCTCGTGTGATGTGTTCAACACTGAAATTTTTATATAAGAGAACTTTAACAAAGATGTCTCTCTACACATTCTTTAGGTACAATCCTCGAATAATATGGTTCCAATATCCTTAATGTCTGATGGGCATATGACGCCGGAGGAAGTAGAGAGACATTTGGAATCTCGTCAGACTTACTTGGAACTTGTGCCAGAGAAGGCACCACCCACAGTTCCGACAGAAATGTTCAGTAATGATCCTTCTTTGGACAGGTAGGCATTCTTCCTGGGACTTTTTTTTTTAGAAAAGTCATTTATTGAAGATAAAGTTAATAAAACTGATATAAATATGTCCAGCGAATCAAATGAAATCGGGGAACTGGAGACCTCGCCCAGTAATATGGGAGAAGATTGCCTCAGTGTAGACATGATGGCGGAGTGACAAACATTCGTTTATAGTTTACTCATTAATTATTACGAAGTGCACATAGTTACATGTCTCTTTAAGATTATTTCACGCGACTAACTCAACTGTATCCACCATAACGTAATACAAATTTTTATACATGCAACAATAAACAAAAGGCCCGCCACAAATTCTTACCCTCTTTTCTTAGGGATCATCTGTGAATCGTAACGCATTTATCACATGTTTTACGCAATTGTTTTTTCAACATAATTTTTTCAACGTTTTCAACGTCAAAGAATATTTTCACAATGATTGCAAGAAGTAATTCAGTCGCCGACATTTTAGACGGCATTATTTCCAAAGTAGAGATTGGATTAGAACAGAAAAATTTGCCATCACATGTAAACCAACCAAAGTTGCAAGATGTCACGGTGTCAGATAAGAGGACCAAGTTATCACGTAACTCGATGGAAAACGTAAATTGTCGCATTTGTTACGATCCTAACCAAGAATTACGCGTTGTGTATCCATGCAGATGCAAGGTTCGGAATAACAAAATTGTACATGATCGACTTGAGGAGAATCTAGGACCCAAGGAAGGATGTCGGAGATTTGCATTCTGAATCATTTTATTGTTTATATATATATATATATGTATATATATATATATTGATTTTTATCTCTGGATCTCTTAGTTTCGTGGAATGATCAATTTGTGGCTTGTATGCGGTTTTAAAATATTACATTTATTTGTACAATGTTCCTAAAAAGTAGACAGCTAAACATTACAAACTGAAGAAAACTAAAACAACTTTTACAGTTTCTATTTTAGAAACTTCTTGCGTCTAATTTATTACGACCTGAGAATAGATACAATCTTTTCTCTTTAGTCGACTTGCAACATACTTTGATCATTGCCAGAATTTATAAAGTTCAACATCACACTTAATATACACATACATTTAGCTAAAATAGATATTTGGAAAACTTTACAAAGAAGATTACAAGATAAATTGCTAATTTCAACATGGCAATTAGGGGACAATGGGCGCGATCCATCTAAAGTGCTTGGAACGATGGCTAGAAGAGAGCAACAGAACCAGTTGCGAATTGTGCGGCCACGAATTCCGGGTGGAACGGACACCTCGTTACAAAGTCCTTCGGTCCATTATAATCTGGCTGTGTCTAAATCAAGATCAGTATGATACGTATGCCCGCGGTGTAAAAGCAGACTTGCTGAGGTGCCTCATAATCACCCCCGTGACTATTGCATGCACTTACATGTGCGTGGTGGCGGCGGACTTTTACGCTATGAATAATTACGACAATTTTCCACCCGCACGTTGGACCACTTATTCCCTGCTTTCCATGATGGCGTTTCTGATTCTCTCGTACTTCATCTGGATTTACATATCGATACAGTACCACCAGAAAGCATGGTTCTACTGGTGGCAGAAGAGCAGCAGCGTGAAAATCATCGACTGGATACCAGACGATACCGCTTCAGTCAGTAACAAACGCTCTTTGTCAGAAGTTTAACGAAGAATGGCGATTGAGAAATTAATTAGGACGCACGTCGTTTGATTGAAATCTTCCCGCGACTCAACTGCGACGTATAAATGCGTACTTTGCTGGAATCCGAAACTTTTTTCACCCAGATCTGTAGAAAAAACATAAATTGTACGATGTGCTGTATGCAAACTGTATGCTACCAAATTCTACACTCTCACACTCACCGCTTCGGTGCCAATTGCCGAAATGTGTGCCGCGAACTTTGCGAGATCCTTGCCCTCGACGTAGACAGGTTGCCCACGGTGATACCTATCGATGAAAACGGTACCCTCAAATAGACGAAAATATCTTTTTCATGTTTAACGAATCAATATTTTAAAAGTATAAGAGTAAAAGAAAGATTATTTGAAAATACCATCTCCGCTCATACAACAATTTTCCATCTTCTATCCGAGTTTCTACTAATGGAGTCTCAGAAGATTGTGATATATGTTGAGATGGTATATTTACTGCATTATAATGTGGCAAAACCACTGTAAATATAGACATATATCATCATAATTATACTTATCCATAAGCTTTATGTAAATTAAACAGGAATTTCTATATCTTCTTTCTATATTTACATGGCAAAAATATACCTGGCTTACGAACGGTGGTAAGTACTTTACCCCGACTGATCGTTTTTAAATCGCTCTCTATCTCTTTTTCATCCAATAAGTAATTTAATGATGCCGGAGCTGGTTTTCGTCGTTTTTCTACCTTTTCGGGTACTGGATCATTGGGACGTCTTCGTAATTTTCTTGTCATTACTGGTTTCACCTTGAATAAAACGTCTTAAAATGAACATAATAAAATCATAGGAATATATACAGAGTATGTTTCAAAACTGTCATACAATATTCCAAAGGTATATTTTGAAATTTCATTGCAATTAAAGAACTTATTAAAATAAAATTTTACATATAAATATTTATAACAAATATACACAAATATAATAAACATTAATAAGTTATATATATATATAAAAATATATAAAAGACAATACTTAATTAGTACCTCCATTGAATCACCTGCAAGTTCCATTGTATGACGGTCAGACTCAATAATTTTACGTTTCTCTTCCATGTCAGTAAGTAAATTTTCCTTTAAATCTATTTTCTTTTCTTCAAATTCTTTTACTGCTGCTTTCTTTTCTAATATATAGTCCCGCTCAACACATTCCGTCAAGTAATCTCGGTAAATTATATTCAAACTCAACCTAAAATCAAAGCAAAACAACTCTGTTAGTTTATCAAAGCTTTTCACAAATAATTGTATTATTCACAATTAATTCACAAAAATTTTTTGTTGATGATTTAATAACCGTTCCCTATATTGTGTTTCCAGTCGTTTCAATTTACGATTGTAGTCAGGATGTGTACCGTCGTTTAGCTGTTGCAATTGCTTCTTTAAGCCTGCTAACTTGTCTTGATACATCCTAAAGAAAATTTTTAAATTTTAATATCTAAAATTGTACTTACTATTGACATATAAAATAGTAACCCATTGTGTTAAACTTACTGTTCTTTAATTTCTGTATATTCTTCTGATTTTCCCATGTCAGTTTCACTAGCTTCTTCGGTATCTAAAAAATCCCATTAACTTTATTAGATTTACAGATATTTTATACACATATAAAACGCATAAAATTATAACTCAAAATTAAGTATCAACTAAAATTTCTGTTAATATTTTGTTGGTTATCTAATTTCTCTGTCTGTATCTTTCACACTTATACATTATATCCCTACCTTCATCACTATCATCTGGATCTTCGACGTCTCTATCCTCCTCCATATATTCCTCGTTATCTTCATCGAGATCATAATCATCCTGGCGATCGTACATTGTACAGAGAGGTGAATCCTGATGAGACATAATTGTTCAAATGTATCATACATGCCACTTTAAAGAAACATAACAAAATTCATTTGGGTTATATTAAACCAAGAGCAGCTAATGATTATAAATATTACGGATGTGCTATATTTGGACGCTCACTCGCTTCAATGTCTTATAAATATAATTTACACTGTTCGTTTTGGCGTAAGCAAAATAAAAACAACAAGTATCATACGGTATCGTTAGATGAGTCCCCCTTTCCTCGCCATGTATCAAATGCAGAGAAAATACAGGAATGCCAACATACAAAAAACGAATGTTACAGTTTTGGCGGGAATTTGTAAAGAACGTTAAGAAATGAAGGATAAAATAAGTTAATGTTCGTTTTTATTAACATCGATTATACTTTAGCTAGAGTTTAAACTCTATTCAATTAAAGACTGAAATTCGGATTATAATTTAATCAATAATAGTAAAAATTAACCTATAGTCCGTATATTTACACATTCAATCTCGCAGATGATAAATATTTTTAAGCTTCTTTTGCTACCTCTGCAGCTATCCTGCCATCTCTGCAGGATTTAGCAATATTTAGCACAAGAAACTTAAAAACTTAAATAACTTTCTATCGGTAACTTCTGTCAATCTTGTCCATATGTTGGTAAGTCAATCTTGTCGATATGTCGGTAAATCAAATTAATGTAGACAAGAGTATAAATGCGGTTTTATCGAAATATCTAATATTCCATATATATATATACATATGTATAGTATATAAATATATACATACATATACATATATGTATTCCATATATACATACATACATGATTTGTATGTGTATTCAAATTTTACTTTGTAACGCTAATAATGCATTTTATTTATTATAATATAAAAAGAAAGACATGAGAGAGAAATAAAGAAAGACAAAAATATTACATATAAAAAGATTCACAATAAAAATAAATTTATTCACAATAAAGTATTAATTAATTTTAATCAAAATTATATCATTGTCTTAAAGATACTGTTACATAAAACTTGTAAGATAACTCGTTGATTGTTGAGAAATATTATTATCAACATTATCGTCATTAATAATAAATTATTAATAACAATTCTAAGACTAAAACTATGTTTTCGCGACTTATAATATATAATATATAATATATAATATAATATAATAATATATAATATCATATTAATCTGAATATTTCAGACTTGTTACACGACAAAAAGAGCATATAAATTGCCAGACATACTTGGTTACAGTAGTTGCTTCCAACTGACCGTGTGGCCTAATGGATAAGGCGTCGGACTTCGGATCCGAAGATTGCAGGTTCGAGTCCTGTCACGGTCGAACGCTATAATTTTTTTTTCGATATAATTCTATATACGTCATGTATATATCACGATGTGCATTGATGTGTGTAAACGGAGGATTCTTTTTTTCGTTTTTCTTCTTATTGTTAAAATTATATCGCAGAGATGACAGTTCTTATCCTAAGCACACACCTGTGTTTGTACGTCACATGAAACAAGGCTTCATGAAGTGAGCGACCTCGAGACATTTCTTCGTATAGTGGTAGACGGTTATAGAGAGCAGCTAACGAAGCGAAGCACCTCTCGGAGAAGGGAACGGGTACAAACGAGGAGGTAGCCGATGTCGCATACCGTGACATTATCGGGAAAGGTCGAGGGTGCCGAAACACTGTCGATTACGAGGCGTCCCTACAGCTTTTGATCGAATTCCCCTTGGCACAATCTTATCGCACTAACTCGCTTAATACGTGAAATCATTAATATTAAACTTATAAATTGATCCGTGAGGTACACAGATAACACATGAAAGTCAACTCGCTGATGCGATAACTTTTCACTCTTCTACCGTTAAAAGGGAAAATAATTTTGTCAATATAAAATACCAGCTAATTACCTTACCCGCATCGAACAAGCTAATATATTTTTCGGAACGTTTTCTCCCGTAAAATCTCGCGAAAAAGAAACTCCCCAATATCGACATCAAGCATTTATATGCAATTAATCTTTCGAACATAGTCTATACATATATAACGAAATATTATTATTGAATTATATATATATATATATATATACATATATCGATGCATCAAATATGTCATACAAATAAAATAAATCGAGTTTCGGTGAGATAACAAAATCACTGATAGTTTCGTTCTTTTATTAGAAAATCTTTTAAGGAAAAAAAACGGAAACGTTTATGTTTTATGCGTTTCAATTTACGTGTATTAATTTATGACCAAGTAAATCGTAACATGGCTAACCATAGAACTTGTTTGTTGATGACACAGAATCGCGAACCTTCGATAGCTCAGTTGGTAGAGCGGTGGACTGTAGTGGGCAAGACGAATACGGACATCCATAGGTCGCTGGTTCAAATCCGGCTCGAAGGAATTTTTTTTTTCATTTATTCTTTTACTTTCTATCGTTGCAAATTATGTTTCCAAAAGACGCAATTTCTCGCTTTAAAATAATATTCTTCCTTTTATCGGATGGCCCGTAATTAATAAACATTAATAATAATCGTAGGCTTCTAGTTATTATCTGTAACATCTTAGTTTTTCACAAATGTATTGTGCGTAGAGCGATTATATATGACGCGAATCTGTATGTGTGTGTGTGTGTATGTATGACGCAGGCAGAAAATAATAATAATATAAATAATAAAAATAATAATAATATAAATAAAATAAAAGAACAGAACAATTTGGTTTTCTGCTGTTTTTAACTTACGGTTTCTCATCATTCTCGAACGGGCTCGCTGATTCACCTCCGTGTCCCTGCGTTCACATGCGAAACGTCAGGTCGAATTTTATTCCACGATCGCGAAGTATTTTTTCCCCCGAAGTAAACAGACGAACAGAGGGAGACTAAAAATAGGCTCCCATTCATCACTCACACTCGCGGTGTTGCGTGAAGGGTTATTTCATGGTGTGCCATATGTGTTATTGACTCTACACTTCCTGTTAAAAAGCCGGGAGACCCTCGATTCGAGAACGTCATGTTAATAGCCGGAGCAGCGTGATAAATCGTGAAAATATACTTGGAGCCGCGACAGAGGAGCGCAAAAATACACAAACCGGCAAGTGTTTTCGGAATATATTTCAGGAATTTATTAGAAAATAGTCGACCTGTCGGGATATTTCAGGATAGAACACGCGGAGAGGCATGATGAGCGTGGCAATATTTCGAGTATCACGGTGTAAAAATGTTGAAAGGGAACGAATGTAAAATATACAAACAACTCACTCGAGATATCGCGTGTTTTCTTTCGCTCGTATTATCAAGCGCTCGCAAAAGTTCGTCTTATCGCATTATGACTCCATCGACTGGCAAGATGAGTCACCCGAAGCCAGTTGTGGGATCAGACAGAATTATTTGAAAGTTAGTGGAATGTCACGATGGTGGATCGTGTCCATCGGTTTCGGTGGAAAACATGGCGTGTACTGTCCGGCTGTTATTAATGACGAGAAACATAGCTAAAAATTCGCCGAATTTACGCAAGCTTCTGGCATTAAAGAGGCGCGTTATCGTAGAAGAATAATGGAAAGAGGAACGGCCTTCGGCAAACGAGCTCGTTTTCGGATATGGGACATCGTTTGCCATAAGCAAAGCGTCAAAGAGGATATCTGGAAATCATCTGATCGCGTCACTTGGTCGTCGCGTGTCACGACGTTGATCCTGCGTCATTCTCTCTCTCGATACTTATCCATTTATATCTATTTCAGGGATCGGAATTCCGCGAGGGCGCGCCGCTTTTTTCGTCTAATCAGAGCGAAGTGAATTAGCCCCGACACGAGACCGCGCCTAAATGTTGCTTGCCCGCTCACACGGGAGCTCTTGGATATATTGGCGGGCAGCTCTTAAAAATATCTGTCTGAAGCTAGCAGAGAATAACACAAAAGAAGCAAAAACAAAGGAGATATAAAAATTAAAATTTGCACTAATTTATATCACTAAATAAAATCTAATATTTGCATTCATTTCCGTATAAAACAAATTTCTATACTCGCGACTTTTACAATACATGCGGAATAATTTATACAAAAAACTAACATTTTTTAATTTACAGATTTTCCACCCGCTGCAACCCTTTGGAAACTATCGTCAACCACCAACAAACTCAAGAACAACAAGAACAATTAATATTAATATTATACATTATCTTATATTTATTATATTTATTATACTTTATTTATTATATTATGATATTATATATTTATTTATATTATTATTATATTATGTATTTATTATATTATTATATTTATTTCATATCTTATTATTTTATATTTTATTATATATATTGTATAATATTTTATTATACTTATATATCTATAACAAAGAAATAAATAAATATAATATTTAAATATAACATTCTTATTTTATTGAAATCTTACACGCACTTTCCTAAAGATCCAAATACCTCCTCACTGATTATATTCTCCTGTTACAAAATCGAGAAATTGGAAGTCCCGAAAATTCTGCTTTTCCCGTATTTGAGATTTAGTATCAGGATAACATGATGACCGAAGAGGTAACACGAAGTTCTGGCGGGAAACCCGAATACCTCCTCGCTGATTATGTTCCCCTATTACAAAATCGAGAAATTGGAAAATCACGAAAATTCTGCTTTTCCCGTATATGAGATTTAGTATCAGGATAACATGATGACCGAAGAGGTAACACGAAGTTTTGGCGGGAAACCCGAATACCTCCTCGCTGATTATGTCCCCCTATTACAAAATCGAGAAATTGGAAAATCATGAAAATTCTGCTTTTCCCGTATATGAGATTTAGTATCAGGATAATATGATGACCGAAGAGGTAACACGAAGTTTTGGCGGGAAACCCGAATACCTCCTCGCTGATTATGTTCCCCTATTACAAAATCGAGAAATTGGAAAATCACGAAAATTCTGCTTTTCCCGTATTTGAGATTTAGTATCAGGATAACATGATGACCGAAGAGGTAACACGAAGTTCTGGCGGGAAACCCGAATACCTCCTCGCTGATTATGTTCCCCTATTACAAAATCGAGAAATTGGAAAATCACGAAAATTCTGCTTTTCCCGTATATGAGATTTAGTATCAGGATAACATGATGACCGAAGAGGTAACACGAAGTTCTGGCGAGAAACCCGGATACCTCCTCGCTGATTATACTCTCTTATTACAAAATCGAGAAATTGAAAAATCACGAAAATTCTGATTTTCCCGTATTTGAAATTTAGTATCAGGATAACATGATGACCGAAGAGGTAACACGAAGTTCTGGCGGGAAACCCGAATACCTCCTCGCTGATTATGTTCCCCTATTACAAAATCGAGAAATTGAAAAATCACGAAAATTCTGATTTTCCCGTATTTTAGATCTAGTATCAGGATAACATGATGACCGAAGAGGTAACACGAAGCTCTGGCGGGAAATCCGAATACCTCCTCGCTGATTATGTTCCCCTATTACAAAATCGAGAAATTGGAAAATCACGAAAATTTTGCTTTTCCCGTATATGAGATCTAGTATCAGGATAACATGATGACCGAAGAGGTAACACGAAGCTCTGGCGGGAAACCCGAATACCTCCTCGCTGATTATGTTCCCCTATTACAAAATCGAGAAATTGGAAAATCACGAAAATTTTGCTTTTCCCGTATATGAGATTTAGTATCAGGATAACATGATGACCGAAGAGGTAACACGAAGTTCTGGCGGGAAACCCGAATACCTCCTCACTGATTATATTTCCCTATTACAAAATCGAGAAATTGGAATAACACGAAAATTCTGCCTTTTCCGTATTTGAGAATTTGTATCAGGATAATATAATAAATGAAGAGGTTAGAAAAGACTTTGGCGGGAAATTTAAAAAACTTGCAAATTTTCTCAGTTTTTCAATTATATCGATTTTGTAACAGGATAATATGATGATAATGTAATGAACGAAGAGTTAATATGAAATTTTTTAATGTTTGTATATGAGGGATAAGAAATAATGTGGTGACACAAATAACATATTCAATTAATATTTAAATTCATTTTTATTCTTATATAATTATGTTTCCTTATACAATATATTTTGTACATTTTATCTTACATATATGTCTGATACATAATACATACTTTACAATATAACATTACAATGTAGCAGAATATATAACAACAATAAATGCAACATAATAAACGCATCGGTAATTACAATAGGTGCGAAATAATTTCTACGAAAAATCTATAATTACAATATAATAAAATTTATCACTATCTATAATTATAGATTTTAATATTAAATTTTATTGGACCGTACAAATTAGTACGTGTTTTATTCTTTGTATGTCTGCTTTTGATGTTTTTTAGTTTTCTTTGTTACGGTCCTGCCAACTTCATATGAAGTTAGCCGCGCTACATGATTTTTGTTCGAAACGGTACGAACTACAAAATTCTGATTAATGATACAAATTAATACAAAATGGATACGAAATAATCCAATGACTGCTATACGGTTTCACCGGTTTGGTCCTGTATTAGCGCTTCAGAGGTCTTAAAAATCCTTTCTTCCGCGGGAGTTTGACCTAGTCTCGCGGAAAGCGTCGAGCGAAGATTAAAAAGTCGATACAAGACCTCCGCCGCTCGATGTGCATCTCTCGCTCCTCTCTCGATACCACTCGCCGTTGCGCAACAATCTATTTCTCAGTCGAATGACTCCTGAATAACCGAACACGATATCGTGAGATGTATATTTTCCCCCCTCCCCTCTCTTGATTTCAAGTTATCGCGTCGCTCCAGGATTAATGTGAGAGAGAGAGAGAGAGAGAGAGAGAGAATCATAAGAAACGACTTCTCCTCACCTTAATCTCTACGTTTCTTCCTCTCCCCCACTCCCTCTCGCACAGCCATCCTATTATCGAAGGGGTAATAAAATTATCCCAGAGTAAAATTAACAGCTCGCTCGTTTGGCACATCGCTACGTTGTTGTAGCGCGGCATTGTATTTATCGGCGCTTATATATAACGTCGTTAAAATTTCTCTCGATTCTCTTATTAAAACGAGTTTAACAGCAGCTGTGCGCGCTCTTTCGTTTGACGTTCTATCGCGACGCGATCGCAAAGAGCTATCCCTAGCGCGAAGAGGCAATCCTTGTAATCAGAGGATACATACCGTACCGTCTTCAACATGCAACAATGACCTTGCACGAAACATCGCGTCCACGCGTTGACGAGCGGCGAGCATCGTCGTCGTCGTCGTCGTCATCATCAGCATCATCAGCATCATCAGCAGCAACCAGCAGCAGCAGCAGCAGCAGCAGCAGATAAAAGAGACAACACGTGCTGCCACCCTCCGCCGCCTGACGTCCGACTCGGGGGTGGCGTGGGAGATCGAAACGCGTCAACGATACGTCGCAGCGGGGATAGCCTGCGAGGCGATAGCGCCGTAACCAGTGACGTACTTGGCGAAGAAGCAGAGATCTCGTCGAGTACGGCATCAATTAGGGTAATTGTGCGAAAATGCGATGCAGCCGCAAAAACACGCGCGCGCGCCTCCTTTCAGCAGAAATCCGCCACGTGTAAGCCAATAATCGTTATCGCAGCGTGCACGTGTAATCAGCAGACGCTTATACAGCAGACGGTCTCTACGTATCACTAAGCAGTGGAATTACATCATCGACGTAAAATCCGCCGCATGTTTCATTAAACCGGCACTTAAGCTGACGTCGCGCGCGCGGCTGCGCGACGTGCGACGAGGAGCAATGTCGCACGAAGCGGATACATCCGATTATTATCCGACGGTCTCTCGCGCGGAAGCTTTCGTCTCCCCCGTCTGAGACACGACAGCCAGACTCTCGAGATTAGACCCTCGGCTTTCTCCCCCCTCCTCGCGAGAGGACAGTACCGTCGGACAGCCCTTAGCCGCGAGCGCGCTTAGATTTGAACGGATTTGTTTGCTCGCAGAGCGGCTCTCCGCGCGCGACAGCGGCTAAGAACAATATGCGCATATCGCTGCTACAGTATGAAGATTCAGTTATCGATACCTCGATAGTATCGCGATAGTGTGGCACGGGCCGAGAGAGCAACCGGCGAGCGCAAGCGTCGGGAACGCGGCGGAAGCGCGCGTGAGAGCACGCAGCCGCGGCGCGCCACCGCGCGATGCGCCTGTGCGAGCCAAGGACGACGACGACGACGACGGCGGCGGCGGCGGCAGAGGGCGAGGGCGAGGGCGAGGGCGAGGACGAGGACGTGGACGTGGACGACGGGAAAGGGGGAAGGCGCGACGTCGACGTCGAAGCCGAAGTCGCGGCGGCCGGTGCGGCTGCGGGGGCGGTATGTAGTTGGAAGGGGATCGGGGGTGTCGGAGGGCCGTGAACGCGTCCGGCAATCTCTCGCGCAGTCTGGTGCCGCCGGTCGCGACGGACTCACGCGCTGTTTCTATCGTTCAGTCGGCGAGACCGTGCGAGCGCAGTCGCGAGACGCAGGGGCGAGACGGCGAGAGGTCGCGAGAGAGAAATCGCGAGGAGTCGCGCGGCCAGGAGCGACTCGCGAGCGGGGAGTTGCGGTCGAGCGGAGTTTCCGCGCGCGGAAGACAGGAAGAGACAGAGAGAGAGAGAGAGAGAGAGAGAGAGAGGGAGAAAGAGAGAGAGAGAGGGAGGGAGGGAGGGAGGAAGGTGGAATCGCGCGAGTGGAATCGAAGCGGATTCGCGTGAAACCGCGCGCGACACCCATTCACCGTCGACAGTCGAGCCGAGTGACAGCCACGGGGGGGGGAAGGATCGGTCATTCGGTTGCGGGTGTAACGCGGAGAACAAGTGGAAGCGAGTCCGGGTTACGCGACAGCGCGACGTTCGATGCGACGGTGGTGCGCGAACCGCGCTGGTGAACCGCGCTGGTGAACCCGCGGCGGCGGCGGCGGCGGCGGTGACGACGACAACGACGACGACGACGACGGCGGCGGCGGCGGCGGCGAGGATGAACGACGCGGCTCGGTCGGCGCGCACGGTGACAAGGTAAGGATACCTCGACGTGACGCGATCGTGGCCACGATCGCGCACCATCGTCGACCAGCGACGACCAACCGCCCCCGGTCTTTACCACGTAATGGCGTTGATTGGGGATCGATCGGTGTCGGGGTGTCGGACGACGCCGCGCTGCAGCTGGCCCTCTCGAACGCTCGTTGAGAAGGGTGCAGGTCGGAGCCGTTCGACGTGGACTGCTGTCCAGGCCGGTGGCGGATCGATTTTCGCGAGGGGTGAGAGCGGAGGGCGGAGAGCTCGATGGGCGAGCGGAAACGGGGGGGGGGGCAGGGGCGCACCGTGTGCGTGGGCACACGGGGATGCATGTAGAGGTGTATGTGTGGGTGTGCGTGTGCGTGTGCATGATGAGTGTATATGCGCGAGTACGGGGGTGACTTCGAGAACAGGGTGAGCTTGAAGAGTAGCTCGCGAGGGCGACCGAGGGAGATGTTACGCCGAAGGTAAACCGCCGAGGGTAAACCGAATCTGTCGAGAACGGGGTGAGCGGGGGGAAGCAGGAGATGACGTCGCGATCTACCTGACTGCCGGAATTCGCTCTTCCGGCTCCACCGGCGACTTCCGCCGCTGGCCTCGATCCGTTCGATCTCTCTCGCGCGTCGGGAAATTAAGCCGACACAGTCAGTCCGACAGAGTGAGACGACGAGAGTCAGCCGCTACGAGGCGCGCCGCGTCGCGTCGCGTCGACGCGAGTCTTCGGCGAGCCGCTCTCTCGAGTCTCCTCTTCAAGATTGATAATGTGCACCTTGGCAGCGGGGCAGGTGGTTACAATGCACACGTCGCGCAACGACCACGTCGTGCTCCGACCGCTCGCTCCACCCACTGAACGACTGACTTCGCGCTGATACCCGTGTCTCGCGCTTCTGTCAACGTGCAGCGCGCACGAAGGCGAGCAAGACGTGAGGACGAGGACTCACGACTGTACAATTATTGGCAGCATGACTATGTGTGGATGTGTGTGTGTGTGTGTGTGTGTACTGTGTCGCTCGCATCGGTAGTCGACCGCCAAGTGTCCAACGGACTTTAGCCGCGTTTCGCGCCGTTGTGCTGCTGATTCCTCGGACTGAACGGACACTCGCATTTGTATTTCCTCGACATAATTACCAGGATTACCGCGATCCGGTGTGTTAAAAGCACACTGGCGAAAATGGCGGCCGCTCGGTAAACACGTTGCAGCAGGACGTAGTAAACCGTCGATGCGGCTCAGCAGAAAATCGTACGAAAGTACGCAAAGCGTACTTACCGAGCTGCTTTTTCCGCTCAAGATGCGGCGGATATGAATTATCTGCCTGGGAACTTGATAGTTGCCGCAGAGCTGCGACGAGTCGTCGAGTCACCGCGCCGCGGACTCCCCACGCGATTCTCCGACGCTTGACTTTCCAGGTGACTCGACGTTTCCCAGAGGGGGTCTCTCGAGGCTCGTTAGAAATTTGTCAGAGCGACTTGCCCGCGCCAGTCGCCAGCCATAACCGCAGCCCGACGGCTGTTTTCCATCGCGGTCGCTCCGTGTGACGATCAAGGTGTGACGAGCGCGAATGGCTGCGCTCTCGCGTACGTGTGCGCGTTTTCGCTCATGCCCGTGCGAAAGTGAGGGTGGCTATGTGACATCAGTTCGCGTAAAGGGTTCGTCCTTCGTGCGTGCGGACGTTCACCGAATGACGCGGTAGGGTGAATCGAGTAAGAAGAGGTCGGGGGGTACGCGAAGGGTTGCGCGCGGCACTTCCTCTAAATAAACCGGGCATACTTCGTCGAAGGACGTGGATGGACGATCGTGACGGGCGGAACATCACGGCCGACGCAAAGATAACGAGATAATGATTTTTTTATCTATCTTAGATAAGAAAGCGATCACGGTTGTGGCCCGTTCGCTTTTTCCTCGACAGCTGACATGAGCTGCGTCGCTTATCAGCTACGCGTATGCTGTAAGAAACAAAATACCTTCGAGAGATTATTATTATCGTCAGCTACGTGTCAGCGCTTTAACGGACAAAAGATTATGAATTTCCGGTGATTGCGAGATAACGATGCAGACGCGATAATCGCTTTTTATCTTTTCGTGGAAAGACACTGTTCGCGAAGCGCCACTTTGGTTCTCATGCGGATTTTTTATCGATCTCCTTCTCGCGTGATTTTCAATCGAGCGTTTGTCCACGTCACTCGACATGCGAGTCATCGCATGGGTCCGGCGATCGCTAAAAATTGCGTCGACCGCGCGTGTTACTTCCCGAACATAATTCCGAAGCACCGCCTCCTCGACGCTTCCCCCCTCGCTCAACGGATCAATTTTGAAAGTAGGTCGCTTTTTAAAAGCCCACTCTCTTTTGCCGCGTGAAATTACCACCAACTCCTATTATTATTATTATTACTACTACTATTATTATTATTATTATCGAAATAAACACGCGGCCTCTCTCTCTCTCTCTCTCTCTCTCTCTCTCTCTCTCTCTCTCTCTCGATTCTACTCCGTCGTCTCTCGCGTCTCATCGCTCTCGCGAAATGTTCCCTTTATTAATTACCGCAAGATCGGGAAGGTTCGATTAACCCGTCTTGGGAAAAGTTGCGGGGCAACACGCGCGCAGGTAATTCCATCACCCCCCTCCCGCGAGAGAACCGCGTCGAACGCGGTCGAGTTCAAGGAAACTGCTGGCACACGAGAATATCCTCCGTGGATTCGTCGCTGTACGCGCGACTCCCGCGGCACACGTCGCGGCTGTCGCACGATCCCGCGGCACTCTGAGTGAGTAATCGTCGAGACTCGCGGAAACGAAGCCGGGAGAGCACGTCGGCTTCGTTCGCGAGCAGAAATAGTCACCGGGCCGCGTCGTCGGACAACAAGCCGACGTGACTTCCTTGTTTAATCTCAAGTACTCCCGATGTAACTGTCACGGCTCGCACTTGATCCCTCGGGGACGGCCTTCTTTTCGAGTCTCTCTTTCTCTCTCTCTCTCTCTCCCTCTCTCTCTCTCTCTCTCTCTCGCTTGAGAGAGACGTGCAAGCTCGATCACGAGGGTGGCCCATTTCCGAGTAATCGACGGATGAACGCGCTCCGGCGAGGAGTTCACCTTCGGCATCGCCGCGTCGCGATGCGCCGCGCCGCGCCGCGCCGCGTCGCGCCGCGTCGCCTACGTTGCCGACGACTGCGTTAAATTGTACTCGAAGCGTTTCGCGTCGAATGTTACTTCGAGTTACTCGCTGTGTTAAAAGCGCGACGCATACGTGAGCCGTGCGGAACTTATTTATTTATTTATTTATTTATTTATTTATTTGACACTTTACGGGTAAACAGCCTTTGGCGTGATATATAAAATTGAAATGACTAATATAATGAAGATCAATCAAACTTACAATGGTGAAAAGTATTCAAATTCGCACATATGTCAATAACCAAAACAATATATACAAAATTGAATGAAAAATGCAGCGTTTAGTGCGCATGAGGAAGCAAAATGCGGCGAAGATTGCTTCTGAAAGCATCTCAATGAATTATCGAAGAAGTCAATGCGTGTCGAATATCCGTTGGCTATCATTAACATTCTGTTTGTGCAGCTGAACTTACCATAATGAACGTGCGATGCCTTTCAACGTGGAACACGATCGAATCGGCCTAGCTGGGCTATATGAAGTTTACACGCGGCGAGGATGGCGGAGCAATTAATATGATTGTGCAGAACTTCACTTTATCGCACGTCTAGATTCAAGTGACAATAAATTGTGACGCAAAAGCTCAGGCACATAATTGTGCGATCAGCGAAATGCATAGGATCATTCGCAAACCTGACCTGGCAAGGCGGAGAAACCGGTGATGAATCCTTTCCTTTGAATTAGAAGACAGTGATTCTTCCGATAAGGTGACCACAATGCCGATCCACATTCGAGGTGCGGGCGAACTAGCGTGACATAAAGAATATCGTTTCGAGTATCGCACTCTCGCTCTGGCCTTCCTTTTTCCGCTCACTCCCGCCCGCGCCGCCTTTCGCGCGTCCCTCTCGCACGCGGACTTGCCCTCCGCCTTTTCGCTTCCCGCCACTCGTCAGCAGGCGTCGCGTCTACTTTGAGCCACTTTGAGCCGAGCCTAACGACGAACCGCGATCCCGAGGCCCGGAGAAATCGATCGCGCGTCGATATATCCTGTCCGACATATTTGGATACGTCGTGCCGTACGAAACTCTCTCACCGTCCTTTCTCTCTCCCACGCCTCTGACCCTTTTCCTCCCTCTGATCCTCCTCCTCGGTCGATAGACCCCGACTCGTGGTTAGGCCGTCCTTCGCGCACTACCTTTCCTGTTCTCTGTCTGTCTGTTCTCTCTCGCCCGTGAAAACACGTCAGCGTCGTGACACTAGAGCAGACCGACATCAGTTAGAGCAGACCGGCATCAGTCGGATGCTCGGCAGTTTAGAGCGAGTTTTCAGCGCGAAAGAACGACGCGAGTGAATCGATCGCGAAGTCGTTCCGAAAATATTCCCGAATGAAATACTAATGTTCTCGGTAACTATCGGATTACGAGGCAAAATTGGAATCGCGTATTCCGCCTGCCGAGTCTCCCTCCCTCTCGCCTCCCTGCGCCTTCGCGTCCCGCTCGAGACGATTTCGAAGTCGCGCCTCGAATCGGCGAATTATTCTTCTCGGCTTCGAGCGGCCGAACGAGAGATTCCCTCGAATCGACGCTTCTCTCTCGTCCTCCGTCGCAAATGTCGACGATTGGACGATCGTACGACGAGCGGCTAAGTGGCCCTACGGATTGCTTCCTTAATTCTCCTCCTCAACTATTTGGCTACTGTGCTATTCGAGACCAACCGCCGAGCGAGCCGTTTCGGCGAGCAGTTCGATACCTCGGCCGAGTGTCCTACGAAATGTCGATAAGCGCGCGAGAGTCTTCGACAGGGTGCCACAGAGGCAGTGGCAGAGCGAGGTGATGATACGTAGATAATGGCTGATGTAAGTGCTTGTGGACGAACGGTCTTTCGAGTGGGACATG